ATAATTTCATAATTATTTAAATTTTATGGTAATAATAGAACAATTTTAATATAATTCCATTTTTTTCAATTATCTTGAAAGACAGAGAAAAAAATGTATGACCGAGAAGTTATAGGTGAAAATCTCAGTGGGTTATCACTCTGTTTATAAATTAAATATATATGTATGTATGTATGTATGCCACTTGCTTACTTTGCATATATTAGAACGGACCGTATGAAACAACATAAAATTAACATTTAAAATAATTTTTAATTATGTTTTCGCAAGCATTTGCTTGTTACATATGAAATAGCACTATATAAAGTTAACAATAGTAAATAAATAACACTAATTTAAAATCATTTTTTATACCTACCCAAGTCCAAAACATTGAACTTAAGTTTATATTATGAAAAATAATACAGAAAAATATCACTAAAACGCTTGACCTCATAGACTTGATGTATAGTTCTAATTCTCATATATTGGTTTACATAATAATGTAATTGATACTCTCATTATATTATATGTTAGACGTGAGATACGTATTTTAGTTATCTTTCCGACATAAGGAATAAAAAATAGTTTTAATGCTATTTTATGCAATAGTGATCTGAAAATTATTAATGTAATATACTAGTATAGAAAATATATAACTGAACTGTTTCTTTTTCTGTTTGTTTGCACGCGCTAATCTCCAATAGTACCTACCAGTCCAATTTGTTTTTTTTTTGCAATTTACAGCTTATTTTTGAGGAAGATATCTATAGAAGTTATATATTCCATCTAACATAGAGTTTCGACTCCAGATATCTAATAACGGAACAAGTAACACAGAGCAAAACCGCGGACAAAAGTTAGAGCTGACGACAAAATTGTTCTACAGTAGGTATAATATACTTTTCACACGCACTTTTGTAGCAAGGTCACTATACATTTTCATATGACAATATACTCGCAGATATGCCACAGCATCGCTCAATGAGGGCTATCATTTCTGGTGGCACCAGCTGGCGCCACTGGCGAATAAGGTCCTATCTTTGTTGTTGCAACAGTATATGCTAGTGCGGCAGGTCAATAAATTTATAATAATAATATAATTGTTAGCGAGAAAACAGTTCTTTCAAGATTTTAAATAATTAATTAATCATACCCAAATAAATAAAAATATTGACTTTTTCTTAACTCTTCTTTTAAAATTTAAACCAATAAGATTTCTTGAGCCATATATATTGTGATACCGTGTCTGCCATAATTAATCAGGAATGGCACAATATTTACGATAATCACGGATAATTAGTAAAAATCCGCGATGAAACGCGAATCCGCTCGCGAGCAGTGCACGTTCAGTGTCATTTGACATTTCTAGAGGCCTCTCTCTACACTAGCGCCCTCTCGCAGCAAATTCAAGCGCGGTAGCTCTCATTATAAATAGACATACCTACATACACACAAAAATATAAATTGTATATAAATCGCTTATTGATTACATATAACATTCTAAATAATAATTCACATCTATCCCACGGGAACCGTACATTTTTCCGGGATAAAAAGGCTATGTATTAGTCTGATGTTAATGAGCTATATTATTGTAAAGTTTCATCAAAATCCATTCAGTAGTTTTTGCGTGAGAAAGCAACATCCATACATCTATACATCCATACATCCTAACAAACTTTCGCGTTTATAATATTAGTATAGATTAGTATAACGTGATATCAATCAAAGAGACCGATAATACTACACATATTATGCACAATATCAAATTTTAAATTAATTTATCACAAGAAAACATTACATAGAATACTATTATTACTTTATAATCGTTCTTCTACTACAATATTTGCACACAAATGTACTATTCCGGCTCGCAGAGGTCGACTAATCCGGCATGTGAGGTCATCAGCACGTGACTATAAGACGATTTTTTAATTCTCACTCTTCGACTAAATTTAAACTGATTCTGAGTATTTCATAATTCCAATCTCGTTCGTAACATGGACACGATGCGTATCATCGGTAAATTCCTAAATCGTGCCTTCAATTGTAACTGGGTTTTCAAGCCTGGTATTATTGAATCATGGCAACTCTACATTTAAATTATATAAAGAATTTTGTAAATAGACAATATAAAATATAAAGAATTAAAAAAAAAACTCGACATTTAAATTATATAAAGAATTTTGTCAATATAAAGAATTTTGTAAATGGAATGAAAGTGTGGATCTTAAGGTAAAGTTAAGTAGGTACATTTTTTTAATATTAATTTTTCGTAACGTAAAAATTGAACAGTAAAAAAATGTGATAAAAAATATCGATACCATATTTTTTTACTTATTTTAACATACTCGTATTTTATGTGGTTGTCCTTTAAATAGTATAAAAGCTTTATTTTAAATATTAAATTGTTCTTGTTATTTTACATGCCACATATCGCATTATAAAGAAGAAGAGAATAAAAACTCACGCTTACAAGTATCTAATATTTTATTACAGTTTATTTACATCCTAAACAAAAGGAAAAATGATATGGTCTCTTATAATAATACTTTGTCTTTTTAACATTTAAATTATTAGTAACTTAACGTAATATGATTCTATGGAAATGCATTATATTAAACATCAGTAGTAACGTAGGTAAATGTATTTATTAAAATTCAATTATAATTTAAATTTAATAATGAATTATGGCTAAATGTGTTTTTAAACAAAAATTATAAAAATAGCTTTTTAAACTTATAGTACTCAGTGGTTAAAAGTAGAGATGGGAGTACAGTAACGAAGCTGTTTGCGTCCATAACCCCTGGTGATGTAACAAGTAATCATCATTATAAGCCTGTAGACAAGTTATAGCAACAAACTTACTCCCGGATCCTTAAGAAGTTCTTTTTCAAAAAGTTTTTAATTACTTATCATATCAATATATATTTAAATTGTGTTGACTTAATTTTTTATAGATAATATTAAGACTCGTTAATACCTTAAATAAATCTTTAAAAAAAAATAAACACCTACATCTCAATATGTTTGTAAATCTAATGAAGGCACACATCTGTGCAAATCTTCTAGTGTTTACGTAACCTTCTCGTACGAACAATAGGTTATCTCGCGAATACTAGATCCTAGTTGAATAAACTTTAAATTACCATAGATATAAAATATTTATTTACATCAGATTTATTCATATTTAATTATTTTTTTGTATTTATTGCTTAAAACTCAATTAAGTTTTATAACATACTGTAACAATATAATATAGGATTGATTAATTGATTATTATAAAAGCGCACCAAAAAATATCTAAAAAAATATTTGTGATTGCGCGCGATCATTATTTAATATTAGCCTAAAACATATTAAAAAAATATTCTAAACTTAACTCTCGACTATTTGATAAGATAATTCATGTCTTATCCAGTACATATTTTCTAAAAGTTTCGCCATAATGACCTTGTCCAACACAGCGCTTATTATTCTTACTTTAGTCACGTATTGTTACCGAACCGACGCACTTTCCCCTTACATCAAATCTATCGAGGTTGCTTGAGCATTTCTATTGCGTTTTTGACATTGGCACTACACCGCCACAGTAATAGGGTCAGTGCCGCATTCGTGATATAAGCATGATATTACACTTTAAATGGTCATATTCGTTAGTCTACTAAAGTATTAAGTGGTTCATTGAACTACAAGAGCGACCATAAATAATGAACGAGCTCTACGTACTAACTGTGACGCAAGCATCAAATGAGCTGTCGGCTTAACTTCTCTTTTTCCAATAAAACTAGCGTTAAAATTTTTATTAACCGACTCTAACAGTTAATAGCCACTGTAATAGGTTACATGGGTAATAAAAAATGTTAAAATTAACTACATTCTTAAATATTTTACTCGAATGTGTAAAAGTCATAGGTTGACATTGCGAATGTCGAGGCTCACGAGTTGTAGACTGCCCTTCAAGGTTTTATAGTTCACCACTTTTTACTCTTAGTTATTTCGCTCTTAATATTAAAGATATAACGCCCTAGAGTTAAGTAAAGAATTTTATATATTAACAGACATAAGCTGCATTTCTGCCCCGTATAAAAAGAACTTGTTACCAAAAACTTTGCGCGATTTTAAACATGCTAGATGATGGTATCGAGAGTACCAAATTAATAATAATTGCATACATAAATATCATTTATTTATGAATGAAACGTTTTGTTACAGTCCATGATAATAGATCCTGACCGAATTCTACCACGGTAGCCAACTTCACTAAGACTAGCAGTTTTATATAGTCTCCAAAGCACCAAAGTGTAAAATGTATTTAAAATTTTTAAAAGGCATTTAAAAATATTTTATGTGTGTAGATTAATTTTGATATTATTTTATATTTATATACAATGGTAGTCGTTGTGTTCGGCTTGTGACTAACCAGTATTTTGTCACTTCCTTACTTAAACCAGTTAAATGGATTAAAGGTGATCGATCTTATTGCAATGAATTGAATTTATAGTATCTTTCGCAAAGCCCTTAAAACCTTATATTATACTGAATTATTTATTGTAATGAAACTATAATTTATATTTATAGTTTTAAAGTTGCGTAAATAATAAAAGTACCTGTAAGGAATTTAAAACATATATATAAATCTAATAATAGGTACTTGATTTTTCACAAATTAATAAATTGGTACCTTGTTGGATTTAAATGGAAAAATATTGTATTGACGATGTAAAATATAACTAAAAACATTATTCAAATAGTTTAACCTGCCCGACTTTGAACTAGGAAACCTTAAATCAAGGTTCCGCGCTTTATACTTTTCCTTTAGTCTCATAGGTCATTCATGTATTGTTTTCAATTACGATTTTAAAAGCAACTACAAAAAAAACAACTGTAAAAAAACATGCAAACAAATAAATATATAATAAACAGTAAAAATACTACAGCATTTTTGTTTTTTAAATAGTAATTTCTTAAAATAATTTCTAAATTACCTATATTAATTAAATTTTATATTGTTATAGGTTTACGCGAAGTCTTTTGCTGTTACTGGTTGTATCGACACAGATACAGACTCAGAAAATTAAAATAGAAGACAATATACAAACAGTGCCGAGCGACTTACGGAGAGCGGTCAGCGAAGCTCTAGCTTTGGAAAGGAGGTTCCAGCTTGGTGCCAATGACGCGTGAGTATTATATCTATCATATCTATATACAATATACATATATCAATATTCTATATCTATAGAGTTTGTTTTCTTTTTGTTTATTTAATCACTGTAACATTACTACAACTAGTTCATTTAAAAAAAACTTCATTGAAGGAGGCTTTTGTACGGTCTCCCTCAATAAAATAAGATTTTTGGAGTAATTGTACCGACATAAATAAAGAGGATATACATATATGGAAAAGGATATCGAATCTATATACAAAGTCTAGTCATTTAATATAATGTAAAAATAACATATTTTTTTTATTCTTATTATTTAAAGGTCTTTGAATCTCTTGAGATTATGCCAGACCTATCGTATCACAAAAACATATATTCATCTACATAGCTGTTGCTTCCTAAAAATAACATTATTAAATAATTTACATTGGTGGTTGGTTTTATTATTTATATTTTCTTCCCAAATCAATCAAACCGCCAAAAAATATCATATGCAATATTGATATTTTTTGGCGGTTCCTTTTATATAATGTACTAGAATTGCCCGCGGCTCCGTCCGCGTTCAGACGACCGAAAACTAAATCTTAGCTTTTACATATTACATTACTTAGTACACTCTTACAATGCAGTTATTTTTAGTATACTCTTGCAATGCAATTTATATATATTTTCTCAGAAATGAGATATTTTCTCGAGGTAAAAAGTATCCTATATGTTGATCCGGATAACCAAATTTTATCAAAATCCCTCCAGTGGTTTTTCTGTGATGCGGTAACAGACAGACAAAAATTCTAAAAAATATAGATTTGGCCTCTGTATCGATAATAATGTCTATTTCAATAAGATTTTCCAAAAAATATTTAATATACAGATTCGGTTCAGTAACAATTTTATTATATGTACAGATTAGTCTAAGTAAAGACATTAGGTATATGACATACAAATGTAACCAATTGTACCAAAGTTGTAACAAAATTGGTATAATTTATTTATATTGCCAAAAAAGGCTCTAAAATGTTTATTACATTCCATAGCTAGTATATAGCTAATGAGCTATCTGAATGTACAACTTATAACAAACATACAAAAAAAAAATACAGTCGAATTGAGAACCTCCTCCTTTTTGAAGTCGGTTGAAAATATTATGTTTAATAACCCTAAACTCATCAGAAAGAATATCTATCATGCTTTTGTTTGATTGACTATTACGCGATTGACGCTGATTGAATTAGATTTCACCATCTTATATAATAAATTCTGTATATTTTATACTACATACAATGTTATACAAATAAATTTTAATTTTGTTTATATCCTTTAAATTAAAAAGCTAAAAATTATATAACACTAGCGGAAAAACACTAATAGAGATCTATTAGTTCCCACGGGAACTGTTCATTTTTTCCAAATGAAAAGTAACCTGTTGTTTGACCGGCCATATAAGGTATCAGAATGTTAAATTTTACAAAATTAAGTGCATAAGTTGTATGAGTTATTATAGTTTTTTAACTATCCCACGGGAACTATTTAATTTTCCGGGATAAAAAGTATCTAAGATGTTGCCCGGGGATATAAAGTACCGCCATGCAAAATTTCATTTAAATCGGTCTGATAGATTTGGAGATTAGCCCGTACAAACAGACAAACAGACAAACAGAGAAACAAAAAATTTGAAAAAAATCTAGATTTGTTCTATTTGTCTCTTACATCCCCCTGAGTCGGTTTTTAGCATTTTTTTGCTATGTACAGACATTCGACCTTTACTGTTTTATTATAGTATATATAATATATTTAATATAAAGATATAAATCCAATAAGCAATATAAAATATTTAGCTAAATTAACAGTTAAAAGTTGATCATATTCGATCAATCAAATTTTATAGACTTCCGCGACGTACTCGTAAACGTATAATTTTAGTTATTTTCTCATAAAGGTCATTGAAATCATAACATTCATGGTAAGAATTAATTTTGAATACAGTTATATCAGTACCTAGAATAATATTGTAGCGTTTATTTCTGATAAATATTACCTTTATATATTTTACCCTTGCTTCGTTCGGCCCATCCTTGAGTGCCTAAGAGTAGCCTGTGTTACTCAAGTCGAAGCCTATCTTTTGACTAAGTTTATTAAAATCCTACCAAACGCTTTAGCATAAATATTATTTATACTCAGAGTAACACAAATAACAAACTTTCGCATTTATAGTATTAAAATTATTATTTTTTTTAGACAAAACTGTACCTCAGAAGAAGATGATATAAGTAATACGCCGTGTCCGCCCAGCAAGTATCGAAGTGCGAGCGGCGAGTGCAACAATGTGAGGCACAGGCCCTGGGGCCGGCGGGGCGATGTGTTCCTAAGGTTGCTACCTCCAAATTACGCTGATGGTAAGAAGTATTCAAATCAGTATCTATCTATTTAGCTATTTCTAATTAAATTTTTCTTCCCACTGCTTACTTCTTTCTGCGCGTATTGCCATATTCGTGTAGAAACGCTACAGTTAGAATGATATTAATTTTTTTTGCGTTGTAAAATGCGATAAAGCATACAAGCAGCTTCCATACATGTGGTAATTTGAAGACTCACCGGCTAGTATCCTAAGTTTTTGCCTTAAACTAGACGAGCCTTAGCCCAAGGTAAATATGTATGCAGTTGCAAGGTCAAATACAAATATTTCACTAACATAAGTTGAACAGAGATCTACAGTCGTAGACAGTCGGTCAATCACGTATTCCACTGTACCATAACGGTTATCTTTATTAAATTAGTCAATAAAATCGAGTAATATAAAAAGATATAAACATACGTATAAGATAAATAAAACCAATTTTTCTTCATAGACACTTGTATAAACTAGGAAATATATCAAGCTTACGATCCATGCACGCTCCTTATAAGTTCCATCACAATGACACGGAACAAACACGTCATTTGTCACTTATTTCAATATAAACACGGATCTTTAAATATAAAAAAGCTTATGAACATTAATTCACGAGCTTTCATTTCTTTATTATTTTGTAGTTCAATAACAAAATTAAATTTATGAATTAATTTTTTTAGCGAATGCTGATTTTTATAATCGACTTTTATTTTTCTACTTTGTTATCATTAGAATAATTATTAAAATCGACATATATCCATATGTAGCGACACTAACCTATGAAGAATTCGAACCGGCTATCCTCCTAGAATAGCTTCACATCACACAATCAGCAATATACTAGAATAAATAATAAATATATCTATTGTCTAAAGTAAATTATCTGTCCTTTTCTAAGCATCAAACAGTTTTGTTGTAACTGATATTTGGAAATAATATCAAGGCTATTTACTATTGTTACTAACTGTGGAAATGCAGGCTTTCGGTTTCAAATATCATTATTATTATAGTTTAAAGAACACTGGAGACGTTTTTAAACTTTGAAAATAATATAAATAGGATCTTTCCTAATTGAAATTTTAATTGAGCTTTTCTTTTTTATAAAACCATTATTTATGATTTAACCATGTCTTTTGAGTTTTGACGCCATAATATATTAAATACATTATAAAACGATTGATTGCTAAATTAGGGGGCATTGATCGATTATCTATTATTATGGTAATTTACCTAGCACTAGATTAATGTGGTGACAGTATAAAAAAAATATACCTATGTTATTAATATTAATACCATCAATAAAAAAAATCGTAAAATATCTCGATAGTAAGCAATTTCAGGTTTTAAACAATATGCGAGGCAATATATTATGTACACACATAAATTTTTCACGAGTATCTCATTTCTTTTAATAAAACCAATTACTTTTACACAAGGGAATTATTTATAAATTCTATTGGTATGCATTTTATTATTGAGAGGAGTAAATGCTTAAGGTTTTACGTTTTTCAATCTTAAAAATTTATAAATTTGATAATCTACCTCGTAAAATTGATGAATATATGATATAATAGCTTATGATAAATTATTAGACTTGCATATAATTGCATATCATAACCAGTGGCTGAGAAATATGTAGGACAGTTGTAGGTCTTGATCTTATTGATAATTTTGCAATATGATTACAGTAAAAGTAGTTGTGATAATTTAAATTCTTTGTCATATAATTAAAATTTAAAGGCAGTGGTAGCCCAGTGGTGAAGCGCTCGCTTAGGTAACCGAGTGAAGCGGGTTCAAATCCCGGGTCTTGCACCTCTGATATTTTCATGTGAAAGAAACGATCGTGTATAAAATAATAAAAATACGGTGAACGAAAACATCGTGAGGAATCCTGCACGTCTGAGAGAACCTAGCTAGTTTTCGAAAGACATTTGAAGTCCGCCAACCCACACTTGGCCAGCGTGGTGGACTATGGCCTGATGCCCCTCGTATTGAAAGGGGGCCCGTGCCCAGCTGTGAGACGTTAAGAAGGGCTGAATACATCATATAATTATAATATATTATTTCACGTCAAAGTTAATAAATCAAGTTATTTTATTTAATTTGCCTAGTTTAGTAAACAAGAGGCATTTTAGCATAAGGATTTTATTTTAGAATTGTGTTTGCAAGTTTTTTATATAAATACCACGAGTATCAAGCTTTTTTTTGTATGTTACATTACATAATAATATAACTTTAAAATCACAATAAGTCGCAAATACGGAATACTTGAACCGATTGCGGCGAAGCCCAAAGGAGGGTTATGTGATTGATCTGTATGAATTGTATATCTAATCTTATATTCCCTCGTAATAACTAAACGGCTGAACTGATATTTTAAGGATTCATACGTCGTTAGATACTATTATCTAACGACGTATGAATCCGACGAATTTATATCCGCATTGATAAAACTAAAAGGCGGATTCAAGGCGCTTATTTGTGGCGCTCGACATTTTTTTTACCAAACCTATCGAGTGGATATAGGCCAGAGTTAAAAAATTGGCAGAGGTTACACCCTTGTGTTTCGAAAAGTAAGGTTCTACGCCTTATCTCTTATCAGTCATGTTAAAATGTCATCCAACCGGAATATGAGATTGCACAATGGTTGAAAGCAGATATATCTACAGATATCCAGTCTAATAATCTCATATAGCTATTCTCAGTAAAATTAACCGCCCGGGACGAAATCGGTCAAGAAAACATTGTTATTATTATAATCATGGCAAAATGTCGCTGTATTTGGCTAGCACTACCCACTGCGTGTAGTGAGTCAGCAAAGTTTTCATAGAATTTATGTTGGCTATTATTATACGAATCTTAAGTGGATTAAGTAAATCGTATTCAAATCTAATGTGAGGTCAAATAAAAGTGGAAGATTGTCTAACTAAATCTATTATGAAATTATTTATTTACAAAGTTATTATTTTTGTTAGCAAAATGTGTATTTTATGGTAATTTTTAATTAATTTTATATTTTTCTATTAATATTTTTCTATGACGTACCGTCGCATTTCTGTTGACTGATTGAGACGCTTTTACTTGTACAACACTTGTATGTACATATACAAATATGGTGTAAAGTTTCTGTATGAAATAAAATCACGAAACTCCTTCCCAACACATCCAACCATTCTGAATATTATTTTGTACAATTGAAGAGATCTCTTTAAAATGTAAATCCGCCTTTGCCGAAATTTATTTTTGTATTATTGACTAGGCACTATTATAAATGCGAAAGTTTGTATGTTTGTATGTCGTGTGTATGTTTGTTAGTCCTTGACGCTGAAACTGCTGAATGGATTTAGATTTGAACGCAATATATGACCTGGAGAAATACAAGCTGTTAGGTACCTAGGAATGCACCCAAGCTAAGCAAGGATATGATATTAAAGGAAATTTATTATATTTTAGACAAATTATCACACATAACTTTGATATTTTTCTATAAAAAGAAGCATATACATAAGTTTAACATTAACAACTGTTTTAACAACAGGTGTATCACAGCCGTTATCAGCACCCCGTCTGCCGGAGCCCGCGTTGGCTATACAGGCGGTGTCGCATCTAGCACCGCCCGTAGAGCACGACTATGTGACCAGCATGTTGGCAGCATGGGGACAGTTCCTCATGGACGACCTCATTGCTACGGCTAATGGAAATAAGGTAATTATTTGAAAGATTTTTAAGGTTTAATATAAAGATAAAGGATTAAGGTAAAATCTGATATTTATGTGAGACCACGATTGATGTATAAACTAGTTAATAAAAAGAATAAATAAAAAATACGTATATAAAATTTGCAAAACTTTATATATATATATTTTACTTTATAAAATGTATTATTTGCAAAACAAAAAAAAACAATGAAATAATTGTAAGCAAAGTTTTTTGTAATATGAGGCTTATTAAAATTAAATGTATTTTTTTATTCAAGAAAGAATAACAATTTTATCTTAACTTTTTTTTATGAATGTTTATTACATTTCGATTTTGGCAGATGAACAAGAACTATACCTACAAATTTATTTAAAAGCTTTTTGTTTCTTAGTACCAGAAAGGTCAAATGAGATGGTAGTTTCATTACTTCTCAGTTTTAATGATGTGGATATAAAAACTATTAATAGGCATAAAAGTGCAAAAAATATTGATAATTCTTATTTACATACATATATATAGACAAAAACACAACAGTTCAGTACATTTTCTTTTGTGTGTTTCGACCAATTATTCTTTATTTTTTGTTTAGTAGCCATTAACGAGCTTAGTAAGCTTAGACGAAGAGTTGTCAAAAAAAAATGTTGGAAACCATTTTCATTTTATATAGATAGTTAAATTCTATTCATATATATATATATATATTTCAATGATAATTATGGTGGGATTTTACCACTAGGCCTTCGATCATCAATACTACTGTTGATCGAAGCATTAGGCCAACTTTAAGTAAAAGCATATGTACATGTGTATGTATGTGCATGTTATGTAATTGTATACATACTTATAATAGAAATGTTACAGTATCTAAAGTGAAATATTTTTTTGTGTATGCGAAAAATACAGGTGATTCTCAATTGTACACAATCCTATATTAAGACATATTTAGTAGTAGCAAAGAAAACCTCGGACCGACTCGACTTAGTAACTTATTATAAGATAAGATATTCGTATATACGATTACAATGTATAGCTAGATAATGAGCTATATGGTAATTTTCGAGTTTTCTATCAAGTAGGTAATCAATAAGACGTCTTGTCGCGCGAACGTTTCACACGTCGTGGGCAGCGGTGCGAAGGTCGCCGGACGTGGTTTTTGTTAGGAACGGCCCAGTGCGAGCGGATGGCAATGCAACATGAGCGTAAACCCATCTAATGATGCGATTATTGAGATTTTAAAGCTTGAACTTGGCCGAGATGCTGCACAATTGTGGATAATTAATAATTATTACTATATTGTTGCATTTGACCTTTGCATGCTTGTATTTTTTTAGAAAGATAAATAAATCTATGACACTTCCCTTGTGTTAATAAAAAAAATATTATTAATTATGTATTCTCGGGCCTAATCTTTAATAAAATACAATAGCCGATAATTCAATTAACCGACATATTTCATTAATTTATAAAAACGTAACTTTAAACAGTTGCCATGTTCATTCATATCCAAGAGACATCTTATTCGTGATAGTTCGCGAGGTCACGTGGGGAAAGGTTACTAGTTATTACCTGTTAGTGAAAGCTATGACGCAATAGTTCCGTGGTACCAACCACGCCCCCTTGTGTTATAATCAGCTGACTGACATCCAATCCGATCGGATATAGGAAATGTGAGTTCTTTCACAGGGCTCTCATATACGACGTTCTGTTCAATTTTCCACTGAATTATCAGAGATTGTAGATTGTCAGAGTATCATTACTAGATACAAATCCAGTTCTAAAATTATATATGAGGCAAACGAATTCTTAAGTGAAAGATACATTTTCTTCAATTGAATTTACACTCTCTTTTATAATATGACAAATGTAAAAGATTCTCAGTAACTTGCTTTTTCCATCGATGGATTGAATTCTTCAGGTTTTCCTAATCAAAAAGTTCGATAAAGTACATACATATATTGAATGAAACTTTCTCTTTGAGCATTAAAAAGCTTACATAACGATAAAAAAGTAAAAGGATCTCAATTTATATGAATGCGAGTATATTATTGGTCTATTTCAAGGCGCTGCTATATCAAAGCCTTTATTGAAAGTAAAATTATATGGGCATTATTTTTTCATACTTTTGGAAGCTGTAGGTAGGTACAGTAAAAAATAAACGATTCTTACGTGTTGAGTTCATCAGTCATGTGAAAGTTTGTACACGTCTTATGGCAGTTTTTAAGGTAACTTGAATGTATAGGTTTTTGTTTTAACGAATACGCTTTTCTTTTATCAGTTGGTGTTACGAGAGTTGTTGTTTTTATTTCTTCATTTTGCTCGAATAGATTTAAAATTAGTGTCGATTATGTTTCCGGCAGTGTTTTTGTATTCGGTTATTTTTTGTTCTAACTCAATATTCAGTTATTAAGTGTAGAAAGATTAACTTCAATGCACTACTACTGCTGCTGTGACAAATGAAATATAATAAAATACTTTAGAAAAAAAATTGCATTTAATAATATTAACTACAAAAAACAACGGTACTTTAATACGGAAATAATTTAACATAGAAATTAATTTCTTTTCTAGTTTGAAGTCTAAATTCGAATTTGTTGCATGTCCCAATGTACATACATATACCTACTTATGATGATATTATTTTGTACTATCGACTCATCCTCGCTCGGGTTCGTCCCTAGGTACGCTTAAGCGGTTAATATAGATGTCTCAGAGATGAGATATTTTCCCGCAATAAAAAGCATCATCATACCAAATTTCATCAAAATCCATCCAGTAGATTTCGATGCGTTCCCAGACAGACAGACAAACATTCTAAAACTATAGATTCGGCCTCTGTATCGATGATAATGACTATTTCAATAAGATTTTCCGAAATATTAAGGTACAAAATTCGACTCAGAATTTTATTATATGTACCTATAGATTATTATGATATTATAAAAACATGGCCGTTGTAGATATAGAAATTGTCTTTATTGAATGCAGTAAAATATGAACTAGATTTCTTTTTTCAGAAATGTGAAGGATCAGTTTGCGAGTATGTCCGATCAGCACCAACGAGAAATATTGATTCCTGTGGCTTTGGTATGTAATTTATGTTATAGCAGACCTTGTGTTAATTGTAATAATTTATTACTAAGATTATAAAGTCGAAGAGGTTTTTAATACATTTTGTTGTTTGTTTGTACCCGCTAATCTCTAAAACTACTTGTATCAGTGCCATTTTAAAAGTATTTAGCATCTTATAACATTTATCAGTAAGGCTAAAATTACACTACGTACCTTAGTAATTTATTACTAATACAAAAATAATAATATAATTGAACTAGCGACTCACGTTCGTCCCTATTTACGTTTTAAACTTTAGTATAGATTTCTCAGAGACGAGATAGTTTCCGGCAATAAAAAGTATCCTATATGTTGACCCGGATAATCAGCTATCATCCATCCAGTGGTTTTTTCGTGATGCGTTCCCAGACAGACAGACATACAAAAATTCTAAAAGCTATATATTCGGCTTTTATATCGATAATTTTCCAAAAAATATTTATGTACAGATTCGACTCAGAATTTTATTATATATATATAGATTTTACATATAAAGATAAGTAGATTGTGTAGTAGGTACTCATGTTTTTTATACAATTCAACTCAACAATCTGTTTGAGAAGTTAACTTGACAAGGAAGTTATCAAATTGCTCTATTGATGGGTAATTGATGGGTAAATGTGTAATTAAAAAAACACTTTTTAATATAGTATTGATGATCGATCGATTCAAAATCAATTTTTTATAAAATTAATTACAGAATCGCTTAACTAATTTAAGTTTTGTTTCGTGATTACAAAAAAAAACTACGTAATTAATATTTTATATTATAAAAATGTAATAGATTTTTTTTAATTTTAGTTTTTTTTTTGTTTAATTAATAGTGATGCAAAAATGAACAGTAAAATAACCTTACCTCTAGAAGAATTATTTCAATACATATAAAATAATAAATTTGTTTTATTCTTTACTGATTGTTAGTGTATCATATATGTCCATCATATATTATTTTTATTTAAATTTATTACTTTATATAATATATAGAAAAGAAATATCTCGATTCATCAAACTCCTTCATACAAATATTTAACCATGAACTTAGCAATACTGCTAGCGGATATTTAGGGCACGCCATTGTCTATAACACCTTGCACGAAGATACTACAAGAAAGTAATAATAATTGTGATTTTGCGCAGATCTTTCAATGAAAAGATAATAGTATGTAATTAAATTAGGTTGAGTTTTATGTAATATTAGCGACTTACTCTCGCTTCGTTTGATACGCGGATTTTATCCGCAATTTCATTGGTTTTAATTTTTGTGCGCGGAACCCTAATCGTTTTTCTTAAATAAAAGTGGTCTAAGTTACTCCTTATCTGCTAGTGAAAGTCCCATCAAAATCGGTCTAGCCGTTGTAAAGATTAACCGGAATAAACAGACAGACAGACAATTTTTTAAAATTGTGTTTTATTATAAGTAGCGTATATACTTTCATACATATATTTTGAAAAAAGCTGTTATTTTGACATTACAAACAGACACTTCAATTTTACTTATCTGTATATAATATGACGTAGTAAAGAAATAAAATGAATTATATTAGAAGTAACACTTTAACTCTTTTACTCTCAGATTCTATATCAAATAATACCGATAACACCATGCTAGGTGTGTTACTACTTTACGATGAAACGGCTGCACTTTACATGAAATTTTATACACAAAGACTTTATGATCTACAATAGCACATACGATATTATTACATATATACAATAACTTATTAAATTTACTCTACAATAGGCAAATATATCGTATAATATAAACAAAAAACATTCATTTGAATTGAAAAATTCCTTAAAAATTTCTAACGTTTTAGTTAATAAGTGGAAGGAAAATAAAAATAAAATAATACATATTTTTATGCAAATGTCTTTATTATTTGTTATATCGATAACTATAGTATAATAATAATATACCATAAGTTTAAGTAATAAATAAGTTTGATTTTAATGTCCATTTTCTTATAGAACACCGTGAGCAAATGAATCTGGCAACGTCAATGCTGGATGGGTCCGCTCTATACGGAAGCTCGGAGAAAGAACTGCGCTCTCTACGTTTGTACGATGCTGGGAAAATGGATCTTGGATCATGTCGGAAGTAGGTTTAAGATCTATTATATGTATATTAAAGAGAATTATTTTATATTTTTATATTATATTATAACTATAAATATAAAATCTTCAACTAGTTTTCAATGTAATCGAAATAGAGATAACTTATTTAGTTACAACGTGAGTGGAGCCACAGGCAAAGCTAGTATAATATAATACATACATAAAATAGTGTCTATAACAAGTATGTATGTTACTTTGTCATAAAACTGCTCAGAAATAAGTATTGGAATTTATTCTCTATGTTTGGCCATGACCTATGCCACATGGTAACTGAGTTACGACAAAATCTTCATAATAATTGTTTGTTATTACGAATTAAATAGGTATTTACAAATTTACCATATTTACACATAAATAGTAACAACCTTATTGGCCTAGTGGCCTAATTTAGTGGCTGCAGCAGTATAGCTTATATGGAAGTAGTTCTAAGTTCGAATCCCATCCTATCCTTTGAGCACACATATAATCATTTAGTTTTTTTTGAAGAAATCCTCAGTGAAAGAGCTGGAAAATTGTAAATCTGTCGCTACTGTGTCTAATATTTCACAATTTTATTTTATAATATACATATTATATATTCTAATATACCAATTATAATGAACATGTTAATAAAATATGTAAATTATGACTATATTTACTTAAGTATCGGATCTAATAACTTTATTATTTATAATTAATTAGAATCTCTATATTGCAGACATATAATTAGATATAGCTTTACCACCTCACGTTATACCATAACCTAGGGACTTACCCTCGCTCAGGTACATGCACAATGCACATAGCGTTGCCACAGTTAAATAGGAAGATGTTCTTAAAAAGATTTTAGAATTATTTTCTGTAATAAATTGTTTTCATAAACTTTAATAGTTTACGCGGCGCACGCCAATAAAGCTTTAAGCCGGCATGGTCTCTTCCGACATCGTCAACAATTATCACCATATTTCAGCCAATTTACACAAAAGCTTCATGATTTATACACCTAAACCCAAGCCTTGCTCATAATTACTCAATCTATTAGTGAAAATTGTATGAAAATTCGTTCAATCGTTTTTGAGTTTATCGCGTTCAGACATACAGACACATGTGCCGGGGGACTTTATTTTATAATATAGCATAAATAAATATCACTCGATGATGACATACATACGAACAAATAAGTCAGATAAAAGAAGGTAGAAATTAAAATTTAACTAATATATTAATTTTAGTATTGATATTGTAATCTAATATTGCATTATTTGCATATTTCTTCTAATAAGGTATCATTATTCATATTTATTTATATTCTTGTGAACTCTGCAATAACGTATTTATTGCTTTATACGACATAAAATCTTCGAGTAATAAACACAAATAACCTAGCTACATACTGCTCACGGCATTTTGAACAAAATAAATATCAATAATAGTTATGTCGTGATTCTTAGTAAAGTGGCACAAGCGTTTAATTTGTACTACTTACACGATCGAAGGTTGCTAGTTCAAGTTCCGTTTGAGGTAAATATAAATCAAGAGATATTTATGTCTCTTAGGGCCAAAAAGCGAGGATATCCCGATTAACCAAAATGAACGCAGCTAATGCTCCAAAGTATTCTTTGTTTTTATTATGTTGGTACGTTTTTTTTTATTCAGACTAAATAATTTATACGATTATATAGTTCCATTAATAACTTAAAAGGATGCGTGATTAAACTGAAACTGACAGTTAAATAAAAATGATTTGGCTAATGACTTAGTTATACATACCGAAAAAAAAAACAAAAAAATGAGTATATACGACTTAAACTCATTAAAACAAAAAAAAATCTATATACAGATATAGTTCAACAAATTATTTATTATTTGATTAACAGCTGTATTCTGTAAGATATAAAAAAGTGGTCATCAATCTTACAAATGATAGAGATAATGGTAGTGGAAATTCTTGGGTGTCGTCACAGAAATGGATTGTATGCAAACAAGGCGATTCAGCCTTCACATTACTTGCATTCCGGAATAGATAGATTTTGATCTATAATACTTAGTAATATGGAGTATACATCACGAAGTAGTTGCTCACGTCACCAATAATACCTGCTTTCTAAAGCTCTACTAAATTAACATACCGTTCAACAGCGAACAATACTATTTCACGTATATTAACCAACACCGGTAGCTCTTGCCTAACTTCGCATTTTAGTCTTGATCTCATTACTTAACTTACAGTATTTTATATAAAGTTTAGCTTTTTCGATATTAAAATTTTTCACGAAATAATATTGCATATAAAAAATAATACAAATATTTGTCCTAAGCAAGCATCAAACCTCCAACTACTAAAATTAATAAATAATATATACTTAATATGTAAGTCCGTTTCTTTATCTCTTTTACATTGTAAAGGACTTGATGAAATTAAAATTGATCTACTTAATTTTAATTATCGAGGTAAAATTTCATAAGGCATTTATTCAAAAATGAGAACAAAAATAAAATATGTTGTTATTGTAACAATTCGATATATTCAAATCGCTTATGTCAAAATATTATACATATACTAATATGGTAGTTCGTTTTTAGAAAACATATAAATAAATATTGGCAATATTTTACGAGATAAGATTTTTTTTATTTTTTATATAGGTATAGCTATTTATTTGGTTAGTTACAATTTTCTTTCATTTACAGATGCAACGATGGAACGCCGTCTGCCCCTCTTTATGAGGCGTTATTAACAGAACACAACCGTATCGCTGGAGAGCTGTACTCAATGAATCCCTTCTGGGAGGACAATGTTCTGTTCCTGGAAGCGAGGCGAGCGGTGGCCGCGATTATACAACATATCACTTTTAATGAATTTCTGCCGGTGTTATTAGGAGAGGTAAGTTGCTATATATTTTATAAATACGCTTTAAAGTTAATTGCTTTTTACGTACATATGTCTCTTTGTATGGTTTTATATTACTATCCATTTCTAGTCCGTGCGTTTAATGAGCAGAAATTTGACATATCTTTGTAACTTTGGAGACGAAATGGCGCCAAATCATACGATTTTTTATGTACAGGATTCCTTTTCAAATAAAAGCTTGTTTTAAAAAAGTATATTCTATATCTATTTCCATTTGTCATTATAATATTTTGTGACTATGAAACGTTGTAAAATATATATTTTTTTACATTTTTATATATATCTTAATGTTAATTCCAGGTAGGAATGGCTAAAGCTGAATTGAAATTGACATCGCTTGGATTCTGGCGCGGATATTCAAGTTCTAACCGCGCTGGAGCTTACACAGAACTGGTGTCAGTTGCACCTATCTTCGATGCTATGATGAATGAAAAATTGGTAATTTTTTTTTAGTAAACATCTAAATATATTGTACTGTCAACAAAATATAAAAATAATATTTATCTAGTACTCTAATATCTAGTGATTTAAAAAAAAATTGATTAAAGTCAAAAGCGTTAATTATTTTTTCAATTTTAACCAAGCTTTATATCTACACTAGTGGCTTACCCTTGCTTGACCGTTCTTTGCTGAACCGGACATTTTTTCGGACTAAAAAGTAGCCTATCGGTATTCCAGACTGTATAATCTCTCTGTACCAAATTCCATTCAGATCCTTTCAGCCTTTCTGGTGTGATTGAGCAATCCAAACATCTAAGCTTTCACATTTATAATATTAGTATAGATATATACCAAACCTCATGCAAATGTGGTTTGCAGTTATTAAATTTCAATCAAAAGTGACACCCCAACAATGACATCCTTTCTAAATATATAATAACTAAATGTTTCTATCATAACTTTCAGATAAACACAACAGTGAGTCTCAAAGATCTAGTACAAACAAGTGCCCACCAAGTGTCCAAGTTCCCGACATCAGCCCAATGGGACCTGCAGCGCGCGCGCGACCACGGCGTGCCTTCATACTTGAAAGTACTTCGCATCTGTGATCCGATGTTAAATGTCAAATCTTATGCTGATTTCGAAAAACTCAGCTATAATAGGACTCAACAAGAAATGATGGCAGATATGTACAGGTACCTTCGTTTTTTTTATAAATATAATATATTTTCTTGTAAACAGCAAAGAATCGACTGTTTTTAGGGTTCCATACCTCAAGAGGAAAAAATCGGACTAGTGCGAGTCTGAACCGCACACCGAGGGTTCCGTAGCATAAAACATTAAAATAAAATAAGCACATTTTTTTATGATACAACTACAAAGATACGGTTTTCGGATTTTTCTCTTCAGTTGTGCTATAAGACATTGCTTCTTACCAAATTTAAGTTTTAAAAATATAAGTTTTTGAAGTTGCGATTATAAACTTATTTTAATATTTCATTCTATGGCACTCTCGCTGTGCGAGTCATACTCACACTTATCCGATCTTTTTAAATGAACATATGTAGTTCATAAAAAAATCATGATAAAAACTCCTTTTAATCTTGATATGACTATGGTATAAATAGTGGCACTACTGTAAGGTTTTCTATTTACCTTTTCATTATTATATAAGTAATTAAACATTATAAAATGTTAATTTACTTGTATTTCCAGGAACCCAGCTGATATAGAGCTGATGGTAGCCGGCGCAATGGAGAAACCCGCCTCGGGAGCAGTCGTCGGGTCCACTTTAGCCTGCGTTTTGGCGTTGCAGTTCGCTAACTTGAAGAAAAGTGATAGGTAAAAAATCCTTAATAATATTGTAAATTTAAAATACGTTTCTTTACTATTTCTTTGTGTAACAACGAATGTACTATTTATGGAAAACTGATGTAGATTTTCTATTTCGGTATAACAGAAGTCAGGTCTACCTGTGTGTATCATAATTACTTACTCCAAAATCTGTACTGTTTATTAACTATATATTTAATTAATACTATCTGTGATAGAACGCTCAAAAAGGAATAACAGAGACACTCAGAAAAAAATGATTTTTTAAATTTACTAATTCTCCTCAAAGAGTAAAAACAATATCATATACAATATATATATAAGTATATGAAAAGCGCATATATATACTATAACTAGCATTGCCCGCGGCTCCGCCCGCGTTCAGATGACCAAAAACCAAATTCTTAGGTTTTACATATTACTATATTCTTACAATGCAGTTTTTGTATTTTTTCTCTGAAATGAGATATTTTTCCGCGGTAAAAAGTCTTATATGTTGACCCAGATAACCAGCTATCACCATACCAAATTTCATCGAAATCCCTCCAGTGGTTTTTCTGTGATGCGGTAACAAACAGACAGACAGACGGACGGACGGACAAACAGACAAAAATTCTAAAAACTATAGATTCGGCCTCTGTATCGATAATAATGTTTGTTTCAATAAGATTTTTCAAAAAATATCTAATGTACAGATTCGGCGTAGTTTCAATTTTATTATATGTATAGATATAAAATATTCTATTAACTATAAAACAAATGTATAATTCATATTTCATTAGGTTCTGGTACGAAAACGACTTGCCACCATCATCGTTCAACGCGGAACAACTCGCAGCCATACGGAAGGTGTCCCTCGCGGGCTTGCTCTGCGCCGCCGACGACGCGCTAGACAAGATACAACCTAAGGCATTTGTTAAAGAAGATCCTTATTTGTAAGTATATCATAAGTTATATAACTTATTTAATTAAAACGTCTAATCTTGAAAGTTTTATTTTGCTTATTTAAGTATACTTTTTCAGACCATCCATTCTTATAAAAATATTATTGCTTTATAGTTTTGCACACTAAGATATGGCAGTTTTTATGTAAGGAATAGTACGAGTAAATACATAATAAAATAACATACAACCTATTAAGGCTGTATAAGTATAGGATTGGTGTAACAAAAACGAAAATTTATTATAAGTAATTAAATAAGATTTTTACAAGAAATAAAAATAAATTCTCTTATGTTATCTAACCTCTCGGCTTCGTCCTCCATGATTTCATCAAAACAACACGACTCTCAAATTATTGTGCAATCTAAATTCTGATTTTAAAATACGAAATTTTAAAGCGATACAATAAATGTATAAATAAAGTAAACAATATAAAGACACATAAACAAAAGATGTTATAATATGTAAATTATAAACAAATCAGGAACGCGGCGCAACAATGCTCGCAGCACTCGCGGCTGGAGGCGGGCGCGTGGCGCGACGACAGCGGCGCGCGCGCCGCCGGCCGCCTGTCGCAGGACGCGCTCGCCGCCGCGCTCGGCAAGGCCAGGCGGGAGATGGCGGACCGCAAGAGGCTGGAGTACATGCTGTGGGAAGCGAGTCAGTCCGATCATAGTATTATCTACACAAACACACCGCAAATACATACACACACATGGACATCGGCAACTTCGGGTTCTTGCCATGAAGGAAAATATATAGAAAAAAAAAACTCAAAATTAAAAAAAAATACGTTTATAAATTAAAATTATAAAGTTATTCATTTAAATCTAGTTAGTACTTTAATGTAAAAATGCAGATGTACCCCTGGAATTGTGCCGCCGTCCATGCACACACGAACACGCAACTTCACGCTATATCCCTTGCGGGTAGACAGAGAGCAACAGTAGTAATAGCGAAACGCTACTATCTCTGCCTCTTTCGTTTATTCCATTGTTATTATACTCTTCATACGCGCTTTGATTTGATCTTTTGAATTTAAGAAGATTTAGTAAATTTTTAAACTTAAAAAACACTTACGTTTTAAAAATTCTTAATCTTCAAAAGTCTTCCGAGATCCCCCTCTATTTCATCTTCCATTCAATCTTCCACAGTATGTTGATTATTTGTCATTCTTTCGTTATTCTTTTTGTCTAATATATTTATTTACTTATTTCTCATTGCTCTCACAATAAAAAAACAATAAGTATAAAAAATCTTATGCAAACTATTACCAATCAATTAAAAAACATAAACCAAATCGGTGTAACAATTCTGAAGCGAAGCATTTCATTTTTATTTATATTAATTTGTTTTACAAGAATTTATATTTAATAAAATCAAACAAATCTTTCAGGTGGAGGAGCGGACCCGAAGTCCCCAGTAGGAACCGCCGCTTCCTTCTCTAAAGCCAACAAATACGCTCTCAAACTTGCGAACACATCTTTATTCTTCGAATTTGCAACCAATGAACTTCTCAATTCTATCAATGGGTATGATTAAATACTATTATTAGTTTTAATTTTAAACAAAAAATAACACAGTAAGAATCTATATTATTGCTCTAAAAAACAAAAAGGTACTTTTAATTAAGTATAATGTATGGGACTCGTGAAAACGGGTCGAATAACCTAAACTCTTCTACTCCATTTCCATACATACTCTTCTAAGTATAGAAAGTTTTAAATCAATACGATAACTAGTAGTAATTTTTAAAACAACTTTCAATATGTAGATAATTTCATACATCAATCGACTTCAAAATCGCGTAAACGGTAAAAGTGGTTATTCTATTTTGTGGGATGTATCTATGTATCTTCGAAGTAAATAATATAACCATACATTAAATCATCGGTAAAAATATTGTGTATACACAAAAACTCATCCAGTAATTCCTTCTTTAATTGAAATCAGTTAAAAATCCCATAAACACCAATAAAATCTGACGATACGTTTGGCTCAGTTCGTAGTGACCCTACTTATTGTGCCAGCGGTCGCGGGTTCAAATCCCGCTGGGGACATTCATTTGTGTGATGAGCACGAATGTTTGTACTCCAGTCACAGGTGTTTATATTTATAATATGTATGTATTTAAAGTTATATATGTGTAGTGTATCAACTATCTGGTATCCGTAACACAGGCCTCGTAGGTTACCATGGAACTAATTGGTGCTGTGTTACTGTCTATAAAAATACTACATTTCACTGTAGACGCCGTCGCAAACGTCAAATCCTCGACGGCTCCCTGAACTTCGAGTCCGCCAACGACTTCGTAGAGTCTCTTCAGTCAGTGGACGTGAGCGGGTTCCTGGGGCAGGAGCAGCTCGGGCCCGCCATCGAGCCGCAGTGCGACGACCGCGGCAGCTGCGACCCCGACAGCCCATTCAGGACTTATACGGGTTATTGTAATAACCTAAGGAACCCCAATTTGGGCAAGAGTTTGACGACGTTTGCGAGATTGCTGCCGCCCGTGTATGAAGACGGTGAGTTTTGTATCTTTAAACATTGCATAAAAACTATATAGTGACTTTTTTGGTTAAACTTTGTTCTGTAACTTGACGGTAGGGTAACTGTAAATCCGTATTTATGTAAATATATCTCTTAAAATATAAGTAAATAACAGTTATTTATATTCATAATAATATCTATACATATAATAAAATTGTAACTAAGCCGAATCTGTACATTAAATATTTTTTGGAAAATGTCATTGAAATAAACATTATTTTCGATACAGAGGCCGAATCTATAGTTTTTAGAATAATTTTTGTCTGTCGGTCTGTCTATTACCGCATCACAGAAAAACCACCAGAGGGATTTTGATGAAAATTTCATGGTATGGTGATAGCTGGTTATCCGGGTCAACATAAAGTATAGTTTTTACCGCGGGAAAATATCTCATTTGTGAGAAATAATAAAAAACTGCAATATAAGGGTATACTTTTATGTAAAACCTAAGAATTTGGTTTTTGGTCAACTGAACGCGGGCGGAGCCACGGGCAATGCTAGTCTACATATATGTAGACATTACTTATGATTTCTTAAAATATAACCCAACTGATAATCCAGATAAAACTCAGATTTAGGTAAAGGCTATAATAAAAATCTTGGTTATTTAATGAAAAAAAAAATGCATTTCATTTCAACTTTCTTAAATTTACGCGAATATTTGACATTTTAAATAAAACTGTCTTTTCTAATTTGTTCGATGCTTTACAGCAATCGTAATCACGGGAAACTCTCCCTCTCCCGTGACCATGATTGCTGTAAAGCATTCGAAAAGTTCCAAAAAGGTAGTTTTATTTGAACGTGACCATTGACCATTGTACAAACAAACGGTGCGCAGGAGTGAGCCGGCCGCGCACGACCTCGGTGACGGGGTCGCCGCTGCCGTCGCCGCGCGTGGTGTCCACCGTCGTGCACCCCGACATCTCCAACCTGCACACGCGCTACACGCTCATGGTCATGCAGTTCGCGCAGTTCCTCGACCACGAGCTCACTATGACGCCCATACACAAAGGTAACACACTTCACACTTGTGTATTACTAACGTAGTTAAAAATATAATTTGGCACTCTCTTGCTGATATTTCAGACTAGAAACTTATAATTATTAAAATATCTGTAATGCATCTGTTTATTGTTTACAACCAAACAAATCTAGATAAAAGAGTCCTTGATGATATTTTGTGTTAGGTACTTAATATTGGTTTAACAACTGCCACTCATTTTTATTGGTGATTTGACTTAACATTATATTTTGGCAATTTTAAAACTAGCCCAGAAACTTTATCGACTCTGTCCTAAGGAAATAAATAATAATTAAAAAAATAAAATTAATTATTATTGTTTGATTAATTAACATGAATAAAGAAATATGAACCTCAATTGGGCATTTCCATTTTGTTGAAATGAACTTAACTCTTAACTTAACTCGCCCGACCGACGAATCTACATCTAGTCCAAAATGCATATTAACATTTTCTGGTTACCTTAAATCTACATATTGCTTATATAAATTATAAATATTATAACAGGTTTCCACGAATCCATCCCCGACTGTCGGTCGTGCGACTCGCCTCGCACCGTCCATCCCGAGTGCAACCCCTTCCCGGTGCCGCGCGGGGACCATTACTACCCTGAAGTCAACATCACATCTGGAGAACGGCTTTGCTTCCCATTCATGAGAAGTTTACCTGGACAACAGCAATTAGGTAAATAAAAAAATATATAACTATTAGTAATCGACTTTCATGTCGTTAGGGTGCGTTATTTGGTGCCTTTTATTTTATTCTCCCATGCGATACTCCATCCGTAATGGGGCGTCGCGAGATCACGTACGCTCTTAACAATGACGCCCCGACGTAGGTATGCCGTAGCAGACCACAACAACCATGGGACTGCTATCAGAGATATACCTAAAATAACCCGTATGGCACACCGCCCCTTAGTGCGTATCTTGGCTTCACGCCCGGCTGATTAATTAACCCTAAATCTAAGCTTGACCCAACCCGTGAGTCGTAATCTCAATAGCAATAACATTTTATTATACAATCCCACGTGCCAGGTCCCCGCGAGCAAGTGAACCAGAACACAGCATTCATAGACGCGTCAGTGATATACGGCGAGAACCCGTGCATCGTGCGCAAGCTGCGCGGCTTCGGCGGCCGCCTCAACGCCACGGCGAGCCCGGCGCGCGGCCGCGACCTGCTGCCGCGCTCCGACTCCCACCCCGAGTGCAAGGCGCCCAGTGGCTTCTGTTTTATTGCTGGTATCTATCATTTATTCTTATTTTGTACATGAGCTGTGTGTACCAAGTGTTTAGTTATTTACCTTGTATTATTACTAGCGGTACACGCCTATTACTTTATTACCTACGAGTACCTTATATGTGTTTATTACTAGCGGTATGCACAATTTATTTTATTTGACTTATATTTATTACTAGCGACTTACTCTCCCTTCAATCGGGTCCGTTCCTACTCCCTATGTACTTAATAGTTACATATGTACTTTCTTAGATTTACGCGTATATTTGACATTTTAAATAAAACTCTCTTTTCGGATTATTTCGCAGATTTATCTTGATTTTTAGACTGTCTGTAATAAGTATATAACGCCTTGAGATGTCTTAAACCTTAGTCTCTCCCGTGACCATGATTGATGTAAAGCATTTGAAACGTCGGGAACCAAAAATCCAAATAAATCCGCGAAATAATCCGAAAGATAGTTTCATTTAAAGTAGCATTACCTATATGTGTGACTGTATGGTCTACCTGAATGCTCATCCAAATCAGTCCAGTTCTTTGAACGTGGACCAGTAACAAACATACACACACCATCCATATCATACACATCTCCGTTTTAAAATGAACCTAGTTACTTACGGTGAATCCCATTATCTATCTGTAGTCCTATTTTCTAGAGATAGAAGAAGAATTTGACATAATTTGTATGAAACAATATCTAATTTTAGTAATAAAAAAAACATATAACACATAATAATAATATTTTCTCTTATTTTTTTAATGTACTCTATCTTTTTTTTGTATTCGCTAACTACAAGTGCTTAAATCACATCTCTTTATTGCTTATAATGCTATAACATCTTTATATATATAATTCTTCTGTGAGTGTGTATGTCACTGAACTTCTCTCAAACGACTGGACCGATTTTGATGAAATTTTTTGCGTGTGTTCAAGGGGATCTGGGAATGGTTTAGATTCACAATTTGAATAATAATTTTCATCAAAAAAATTATTAAAAAAAGTTTGAAATTTTCAAATTAAAGACGTGTAGACAGGACAACGTCTGTCGGGTCCGCTAGTTACTTAATAAATAAATATTATGAAACAGGTGACGGTCGAGCCTCAGAGCAGCCGGGTCTGACCGCCATCCACACGGTGTTCCTGCGCGAGCACAACCGCGTGGTGGAGGGGCTGCGCGGCGTCAACCCGCACTGGGACGCGGAGCTGCTGTTCGAGCACACGCGCCGCATCGTCGCCGCGCAGTTCACGCACGTCATATACAACGAGTTCCTACCGCGATTGTTGTCTTGGAATGCTGTCAATCTGTACGGGTTGAAGCTATTGCCTGCAGGTGATTGTATTATGATATTTATTACATTTATATTGTAACTAGCGATTTAGTCTCGCTTCGCTCGCGTGCGTCTTTAGGTTCGTTTAATCACAAATCACTTAATACCATACTAGGTTTTATATAGATAAAAATAGTAATTGTGAGCATACGTTCTCTAGCGTGTGTTTACCCCAGATAGACACATGCTATTTCGGATTATGTAGGCCTTTTTACGACCTACAATTTTCTAGTACATTGTTTTGAAGTTATCACACTACTGATCATATGATTTAATGATGACACTAACAAAAATGTGAATTCATGTTGGTGAGTTTTCTAGCCATAAACATTTCTTTGAAATATTATTTAAATATTTTTTATTTCTAATGAAATCTGTTAGAATTCATATTTTTGTTTCTAAAGTCCATCATTAAATTAGTTGGCTTATTCTAATGACGTCCGTTTATTATAACGATATAAAATTTTACGATATAAAACTCGTCTCCCAGGCTACTACAAAGAGTACTCGCCCACGTGCAACCCGTCCATCGTGACAGAGTTCGCGGCCGCCGCCTTCCGCTTCGGGCACTCGCTGCTGCGGCCGCACTTGCCGCGCCTGAGCCCCGCCTACCAGCCCGTAGACCCGCCCATACTCCTGCGGGACGGATTCTTCAGACCCGACATGTTTATGAATGTAAATACCAAATATTATACACGACATCCTAAATACCTACTATGTTAAAAGACATTTTTTTTTAAATGTTAGGATTGTGTCGGCTCGCATATAACAGAGTTGCTTGCCAATACAAACTTTCATCCTCATTTTCACCCCCTTAAGGGATGATTACCGGGGTAAAAAGTATCTTATATCCTTCCCAGGGTCTCAAACTATCTTCTTACCAAATTTCATCTAAATAGGTTCAGTAGATCCAGAGAAAACCCTACAACGTCACAAACACACAAACTTTACCTCTTTGTAATATTAGTATAGATAAATAATAAAATTTCTAAAATAAATATTTTGACAAAAAACAATGGTAAGGACCTAATAATAGACTATAGATATATCAGAGTTTGATAAAAGCTCTGTCTTATACTTAATATTTTGGCTGTACTTGCGAAGTTTAGTCTAAAACCGTTCTTTCCATTCTTGGAATCACTAAAAATCGCTAAACGAATTGGATTCGATAAAATCGATAGGTGTTCACTCACCAGTCTTTAACTCACCAGTATGTTACACACTACATATATATGTATGTACGTAGCTATAAGAAGCAAATTGAAGACTTCACAAACGCCACCTAGAGAGTCCATAATAAATCATGATTTATAACATTCTTATATTCTCACATCTTCCTTCCAGCATCCACCAATGGTAGACGAACTTATCCGCGGTCTCTCCTCCACACCCATGGAGACCCTGGACCAGTTCATCACTGGAGAAGTCACCAACCATCTATTCGAGGATCGAAGGATTCCCTTCTCTGGTATTGACTTGATCGCCCTCAACATCCAGAGAGGTAGAGACCACGGCATACCGAGTTATAACAACTACAGAGCGCTTTGTAATCTGAAGAGAGCAACCAACTTTGAAGATCTAGCTAGGGAAGTCCCTGATGAAGTTATTGCCAGGTAAAGCTTAAAAATATTTTTTCTTAGAGGTTCTATTTTATTTACTGCCTCGGTGATCTAATGTCCAGCATGTACGGTATTTCGGTTGAGTAAGTATTTCTTTAAAGAAAGTCTCAGTAACAGCCCGGAATCGGGAAGTTAGCACTATACTTCAGATAGATAACTTATTATTGAGAACTGCCTTAAGGAAATGAATTCAAAATTCTCCAATTATTCCATCAATATGCTTATAATTACATTATAAAAATTAAAAGACTATAAAATATTCCAATGGCAGTAGTAGCCCAGTGGTAACGCGCTCGCTTGGGAAACCGAGTGAAGTGGGTTTAAATGCCGGGTCTCGCACCTCTAATATTTTCATGTGGAAATGAAGGAAAACATCGTGAGGAAACCCTTTATGTCTGAGAGAACCTAGCAAGTTTTCAAAAGACATGTGAAGTCCGCCAACCCGCACTTGGCCAGCGTGGTGGACTATGGCCTTATTCCCTTCGTACTGAAGAGAGGCCCGTAGCCTGCAGTGGGACGTAAAAAGAGCTGAATACATACAATACATATAAAATATTCTATTGCAGGTTCAAGCGTATATACCCGACGGTGGACGACATCGACCTGTTCCCGGGCGGCATGAGCGAGCGCCCGCTGCAGGGCGGCCTCGTGGGGCCCACCTTCGCCTGCATCATCGCCATACAGTTCCGACAGCTCAGGAAATGCGATCGCTTCTGGTAACATTGCTTTTATATTACTTTTTTTTATTTTGTACATATGGAAACGGTTAATGAAAATTTGTTTTGAAACGTTAAAGAAAATACTTATATAATATATAACTTACCTTTTCATCAGTTGGTTTGTTCAGCTTCTATTGGAGGACATAGGTCTCCTTAAGGTTTAAGATCTTCTTATAAAGATATTTTCCTCGTAGTGGACATTGTACAAAGTAACTTAAGGACCGACTCGCCCATCAAAAGTAATTATGTATTTAGACTAAAATTATAAGAGTAATTTCTTGTTTTAAATTAAATAATCTATATATAAGTACTGAGTTACAATATTATTCCTTGGATATATTCATACTAATGTTATAAATGTGAAAGTGTGTTTGTTTGTTCGTCCTTGTTTCACATCGAAACGGAGTGACGGATTGGCGTGATTTGTATGGAGATAGTTAGAGTGCTGGAGAGTGACATAGGCTACTTTTTACCGCGGGAGAATATCTGATTCCTACAGGAAAACATATTATAATACAATCCAAAAAAATATTTATGATCATAATTACTTGAAACTTGGTATTAATGCTTTTCAATGCAATTAAATAAATACGTGTTTTAGCATTTTTCGAAATTCATCCCATAAGAGGGTAAAATAGGGGATGAAAGATTATATGAAACCTACCTTTTTAGAGCTTTTTTGTAGTTGTAGCACGAGCTAAGCCGCGGGTTTTACTAATATATTAATATTTAACGTATTTGCTTATTTTCTGATAGGTATGAGAACGACAACCGAGCGGCGCGTTTCACAGAGCTGCAACTCGCTGAAATACGCAAAGTGACGCTCTCAAAGATCCTGTGCGACAACTTCGACGTGAACTCAGACATACAGCGCGCCGCCTTCGACCTGCCCAGCAATTTCCTGTAAGATTTACTATTAATTAATTAATATACTATTATAAAAATGTGTTTGTTTGTTATTCTTTCACGCAGAAACGGCTGGGCGAATTTGGGTGCTTAGAATACATGTACAATGTACATATATATTATAACCTGACTGAATGATGGCGCTCTCTGTATATCCATTCTAGAATTATAAATGTGAAAGTGTGTTTGTTTGTTTGACCTTCTTTCACGTCGAAACGGATTGACGAATTGGCGTGATTTTTTATGTGGAGATAGTTGGAGGGCTGGAAAGTAACATAGGCTATTTTTTACTACGGGAGATTATCTAATTCCTACAGGAAAACACGTTATAATACAATCAAAAAAATTCATGATCAGAATTACTTGAAACTTGGTATTAATACTTTTTAATAAAATTAAATAAATACGTTTTTTAGCATTTTTCTACATTTATCCTATAAGTGGTAAAATTGGGGATGAAAGTTTGTGTGAAACTACCTTACTACCAGTTTTAGCGCGAGCAAAGCCGCGGGTTCTGCTAGTATTATTATAAATACAAAAGGGAATTCAAAGTAAATATATATGAATAAAAAGTCATTAATTTATATTGTATAACGAATACATAGTTCACCAAAATAAACTGCTCCAAATAATATATAATTTTACTTGTATATGAAAATTTTTTAATTTATATCCTTTTATTGACCCTAAAACATCTAGAAAGTGATTTTCTTTTTTTTCTTTTACTGCATTACGAAACACAATTCATTAAAAAGAGTACCGATAGATATCAAAAGCAGATAAATGTAAAGAGTTTTAATTTACAAATTTTAATTTAAGATTAGACGATTAATTTGAATTTCCAAAAATAACAAATGTTTGTTTATATGTAGTTTTAAGTTTTCACTTCTGTTGGCAGTCCTCATGGCTGCTTTTTTTAGTACTTTTTTGATCGATGAATATGTATATATACATATATACATATTCATCGATCAAAAAATGTTACATATTCATCGATCAAAAAATGTTCCACCGCCAGCAACCCCCGCGTGCCGTGCGCGTCGCTGCCCAAGCTGGACCTGTCGGCGTGGCGGGAGAGCTCGGCGCAGGGCTGCCTCATCGCCGCGCGCAACGTGCCGCTCGGCGAGTCCGCCTTCCCGTCCCCCTGTACTTCTTGCATCTGCACCGTTGATGGGGTGAGTTTTTTTTTACATTAACACACAGCACCATCTAGTTCCATGGTAAGCTACGAGGCTTGTGTTATGGATACCAGGTAGTTGATACACTACACATATATAACTTTAAATACATATATAAAAATATAAACACCCATGACTGAAATACAAACATTCGTGCTCGTCACACATATGAATTCCACCAGCAGGACTCGAACCCGCGACCGCTGACGCAACAAGTAGGGTAAATACAAACTGAGCTAAACGTTTCGTCAAAACGAGTTGGTTATAATCATTTCATTTATAGTTAAATTAATGGTTTTAATGATATATTATCTGGCTGAAAGGACCACATACGAATGGATTAAATATAAGTTGTACTCAGTATCTGGACGAAAAAACTTCCCTTGGCGTTTGTAAAATTTTTACTTATTTTTTTCGGAAAGGATATAAAAATTGCATTTTCTGCAGAAAAGACAAACTATATACATATGTATATAAACTAAAAATCCAAACCTTATCTGAATAAAAAATTTGATAGAAATCATTAGAACGATTTCTGAGAGACGCGATATAAATCTATGCATGTAATTAAATTGTAACTAAGCCGAATCTGTACATTAAATATTTTTTCAGAAATCTTATTGAAATAGACATTATTATCTTAAACAGAGGCCGAATCTATAGTTTTTAGAATTTTTGTCTGTCTATATGTGATCGCATCACTGAAAAACCACTGGAGGGATTTTTTGATAAAATTTGGTATGTTAATAGCTGATTATCCGGGTCAACATATAGTATATATGTAAATAATTACAATCCACATTAGGCTTGTTGAAAAAATATCGACACATCGACGTATCGATATTTTTTCCTCGGGATATCGAGGTCGATATTGATACTTTAATAAATATCGATACATGGATATTTTTTTCACCGCCAACATGTACATTCCACATATCCAGGCGCAATGCGCATCTCTCCGCATCACGGACTGCGCGCAGCTGTGGCGCGAGTGGGCGCGCGAGGCGGTGCTGCGCGACGACGTGTGCACGGCGCAGTGCGGCGCCGCGCCGCCGCCCGCCGCGCCGCCCGCGCACCGCGCGCCAAGGCGACCGCTCAACTTCAAATTCCCAGATTTAACACCGTTTATAGCTAAGTGATCTTGTTAGTGCATCAGTACGTGTTCATGTACCCTGTATTATTTGTATACATCACTCGACTTTTAGTTTTCGAATTTGACGATGTTTATCGCTAAGAGAAGAGGCACAGTATTGGTATTTACATATTAACGTATTATGAAACAATACATTTTATAGACATATACAAACGTTTTGAAAGGTGGTTTTCGATTGAATAATCGATTTTTTGGCCATTGAAGTAAAACAAAAAATAACAAAACGTCTTTTATTGGTTTTCGATTGAATAATCGATTTTTGGGCCATTGAAGTAAAACAAAACGTCTTTTATTCAAGATGTTTGCTGACCTCTTGGACATTATCAATATGGTTTCTCACTTGAACAACAAAAAAATTAAGCCCATTAAAAATATATAGGAAAATGTATAAATCAAAAAGTCGACTATATTTTGTAACAATATAATACAATGTACTGGATATATTTAAATAAACACAAAATAGTTAACAATATTAAAAAATGACGTGCGCACTTAGCACAATGTTACGGACCTCACGTATGTTGCTAAATTAGTGACAACATAACGATTCACGTTTCATATAAATAAGATCGTTAGTACAAGATTAGCTAACAGAAAAATTAGACACTTAAAAATACATAATTTAATATTCAAATTCAAACTATTTATATTAATCGATTTTTGCTCTGACGATCTGATATTAACATATTTATGTACATAACAGTATTAAGGGCCGCTCCACACTATAATGCCGATCATAGTTCGTTCTCGGTCCGATATTGTTCTGGTAAAGTATTCCTATACAAGAAACGGTGCTGGAGTGTGATTCGACTGAAACGTGACTCTTACTGAGTGTGAATTCATTCATTGCTCCTTGTATAACAATACTTAACCAGACCTAGATCGAACCGTGATCGGCACTATAGTGTGGGGCGGCCCTAAGCGTGAACTCTATCACGGACTAGACAATCGCCAAGTAAATGTGACGTCTACAAATGAATTACTTTATAGGTTGTGACAATGAACCAGTCAGTATCGAGGCACAAATCACTATATAATATGTATTTAAATGAGTCACTGTTGTATTAACTCATATGCATTTTATAGCTTGGCATTAATTTGTTGTAGAACATTACTTCACCAAGTTTAAAATTATTATTAGTATACTTAGTTGAACATATCGCAACATTTTCATGTTCATTATTCATTAATGTATAAAAACTCGCAGAAAACATTAAAATAATATTAACTTAAATAAAATTGTCAATATTTAAAAAATAGAAGAATATAAGTGTTAATTGAAATGTAAAGGAATGTAACATGGTCATAATTAAAACGCTTGTATAGTAAGTCAGACGAAATTATCATTTTATATACATATCTATATAATATTATAAAACCTCATTTCTCATTATCATAATATTTACCACATAATGGTTACCAATGTCTGACGAAGCGCATTTACGGCCATTTTAAGCTTTAATTGAAAAAAAAAATACAAAATAATTTAAGATTTACAATGTAAGCCGGAATGTCACAACAAAATATTATTATTAATTTATCTTCTTGTAGCCAAAATGTTACCGAAATACATTAAAATATGTCTTAATAGATTTTAAAACAATATAAACAATATTTTAGAATGTTACCATTTAACATACAAGGAAATAGTTTAAACGAATGTATTGTAATAAAATAGTCCTCTGTAGTATAAGAATGTTTCTCACTGCCTAGTTTATAACATCTAGTTACTAAGTGTGTATAAATTATTTTTGTAAAAATATTGGCATAATTAATTTTAATTAGAAATAATTTTTTTACGAAGTAAAATTAATAGTTAATTAAATATCACGAAATAGTCATTTGTGTTTTATTTATATAATATACCAATTACAAATTAAGTACATGACACACAGTATAAAAATCCATACAGCAGCAGCTGTCAAAAAAAGGGTGCCATGAAAATACTAATTTTCATGGTGAATGGTGTCAAAGTTAAACTTCTCCATTACGCGACATTGGCGAAGCAAATTGTGCCAACACGGTACTCCTAGAAGCCACTCAACAAAGAAATTGAAAGTTAAAGCTCCCTAGCGCCATCTAGTGGTAAGTTACACTTATACTCGACAACCCTAAAGCATTTTCCCGACTGACATAAAAGTACGAATTTCAGTCGGGAGCTTTTATTATACTGTATAAGTTAATAGACTGTGTATTGAGTTCAACTCAACATATAATAAAATGAAATGAAAAGGCAATCATATTTACAAATCACTTTATTCGTTTCATAATATTATCAAGTCTATTTAGTTCCTTTTTACAATAAATACATTGCTTTGAGTATAAAAAGTTGGTGTTGCAGTAAAAAATAAACAACACAAACATTGGACAATCGTAAAGTCTTGACTTCGCGCACATAATGTACATAATGTAAATGTATGCACAACACTTGGCTTGGTGTCTTCTCTCACTTCACGTTTCGTTTAAACAAACACCAAACGCTCAATTTTGATTGCACATTGTCTATTCATCGTCATCCTGAAAAAAATATATTGAATAATTAATATTATACTTAAAATTTCAACTCCTATAATTTATATCATATACAGGCAGCTCTATCTTTCGACAAATTTTGTTATTTTCTTTTGTTTTTGTTTTTAATATTTTCAACAGTAACCAAATTATATAATAATAATGTAAGTCACACTACTGAACACAATAAAAAACAAACAACATTTTGAGATAGACAAATGCCACGCGGATACTGATTTCCTAAGTTCAAATAAGAGAATGGGAATACAATAATAATTATTTAGTTTGAGCCAAAGCCAAACCCCTCTTTGGCTCCATTTTGGAATTTACTCGAGCGCATCAGATTAACATAAAAATGATGAATAACTTGCACTCTGTTGAGTACCTTTACCATATATAAAAATCCTCAGTATAAGGTCGCACGTCTAAGGCAGCCGATCAAAACATTTAAAAAATATTTTGATAAATTAAAAACGTCAGATTATAAAGCGACGGTTTTTGTTTCTTTGGTCAGTGGAAATTGGTAGATTATTGAATTGCACACTTTTCAGCATGTAATTAGACCACCACACTTTAATCTGATGCGCTCAAGTATTTCTACTAGAAATTCTCAAAATTCTCAAGCGTACTCGGACTGTGACATCCTCTATACATATAACTGTGTGACATTTTAAATAGAACTATCCTTTCGGATTTTTTCTCGATTATATTGACCCGTATCTCCCGTGACCATTATTATAATAGCATTCGAAACATCGGGAACCAAAAAATAAAATATATAAAACCGAAAATAAAAGGTTTTATTTAAAATGTCAAATACTCGTTTTAAATCTAAGTGTCAATTAAATAGCGTCACTCACAGAGGATACATAATGTCAGTTGGCCGCCACCTCCTTGAAGCCGTTGGCCACGGGCAGGTCGCTGGAGCGCCGCCACAGGCCGTACACGCGGCCCGGCACCGCCTGCCACAGCCGCACCGTGCCGTCCTCCGAGCTCGTCGCGTACAGCTCGCCGTCGGGCGACCACCGCACGCAGTGCACTGGACCGAAGTGCCCTTTGTTTGATTCTGTAATCAAATATATATATTGTCTGTACTACTCGTTGAAGTTGTACTTATTTTAGCACGTTTGGAAAAAAATGATGAGAGTAAAATTTTTACGATGCGCCGCGCACACCGACAGCCAAAAAGGGACATGATGAAGTTAGCTGCATTCCTTTTACAAACAGAGAGTTGTGACATACGGGATGAAATCTTTAGCTATTTTTGTTCTGTTAAGCAAAAGTTTTTTTTTTAATTTGTTTTAAGTATACATATAGCATATGCACAAAATATATTAAGTTGATCAAAAATTAGATCATTTGAGACACAGGTGACATAAAAGTTATCTGGTAAAAAATTTTGAAGAGAGCTATATTGTTTGCTTGAATGCGCCATCTTTGAAAATAAACTTTGGGCCTATTAAACACCTTATTGCCAATATTTCAACATTAATTCATTCAGTGGCAATGGTAGCCCAATGGTAATGCTCCCATTTAGGAAACCGAGTGAAGCGGGTTTAAATTCCGGGTCTCGCACCTCTGATATTTTCATGTGCGAATCATCATTTCCAATATGATTATCACTTGTATTACGGAGAGAACCCAGCAAATTTTCGAAAGACATGAAGTCCGCCAACCCGCACTTGGCTAGCCTGGAGGACTATAGCCTGATCCCCATCATATCGAACCACGGGCCTCCCACCCTCGCCCAGCAGTGGGATAAAGGGCTTAATACATTTATTCGTCATTAACAAAATTACGCATAGTTAACGTTTCATTGACATTGAAGACATATTCATATTCAAATATCCGATCTGTCAAAACATGATAAAGAATAAAGGTATTAACAAGGAAAAAAAAATACAAGAGCCCAACCACTAACCAAGTTCTGTGCCAGTGTTATAATCGAACTTGTATACTTTGAGGTCCTCGCCGCCGCACACGAAGGTGGCGCGGCTGGGGGCCAGTGACGCCGAGTAGCACTTAGTGGGAACGGGGAATTCCCGCATCTTTCGCATCGTATCTGACGAGTAAAACGATACGTTTGTACCTGAAAACAAGATAAGCATATAGTAATTTTAAATGAAACCATCTTTTCGAATTTTAGGGCGTTTTTATTTTAAGTTTTTATTCGGTTTCGAATGCTTTACAGTAATCATGATCACGGGAGATTAAGATAACACAAGTTAATGGTTACGAGCTGTTGTTTCATACGGTATCCTGTGTATGGTCTAGGTTCTGAATCGGGTCATTGGACCGTCTGTCTTGCACCTAATTTCTCACAGATTGTCATACTATCGGATTTTTAAATAAATCGATGTAGGCGCGATAAACAAACATAAATTTCTTAAGTATAATAAATTTTTATATTATTATATATGTATATACGTATATATAAAAAATATATTAAATACAGTAACGAAAACTTACCATGCGCTACAGTCAACACGGCCCCATCCCTAGACAATTCTAAACTATTTGGAATCGTTGGGAACTCAACTTTTTGAACTTCCTGAAAAAGCAAAAAGATTACTAATTAACATAACAAAATAATTTGGCATTCATTTTAAAGTAACATCAATTCAAAATATCGCTAAAGAACAATGTTGCAACTTTAGTATTACGCTCAATTAAAATTACAAATTAATCTCATAATATATATTAAAATTCTAAATTATTACTAATACTGAGTTGCTATGTTGTTCCTTGCAAAGTGTCAATAATTTACAGTGTAAATTTCATATATTACCATTTGCATTTTTTATTACCATTTAACAGTTTTATATAGTATTATAATAAATTGATAAAAAAAAACAAACGCCAGTCACGCTCTGAGGGTTCCATAAGAATCTAATGTAAATAATAGGTATTACAATTCACAAATGTAGCCTTTATATCAATATTATTTATTACTTATTTAATTCAACAACAAAATGTATGAAATTATTCAATTACAATTAGTTACTTAGACCACATAAATATTATAAAAGCGAAAGTTGGTCGATCTGTGTGATTGTTAGGTTTCCATCATGCAGGAACTCAACAAATTTGAGTAAAAATTGGAATGGGTAAACAACACATAATTCTTGTATCGACGTACCCATTTCGCTAGCAAAGTTGCAAGCAAAAACTTGTTATATATACAATATAATAACAATAGTTACCTGTCCACTAGTACGATCCCAAACGCGCATAGTGAGGTCGTCGCTAACGCTCACTATACGCGAGTTGTGCAGGAAGACGGCATGCCTTATACTGTTCGTGTGCGCGCTTATCTTCTCAAGTGCTAAAATTACAAAAGACATTTATTATAGTAATAGTATAATAAAAAGCTAAAGTTTGTTAGTTTGTATGTAGGACCGTTTGTATGTGAGGTAAGGAGAAGTTTGTATGTAAGATAGTAGCCGCTGAAACTACTGACTCAATTCTGAAATTTCACTCGTAGGAAGTTATATTACCGCCGAGTGCTATTGGCTATTTCTTATACGATAAAAATGAATTTAGCGAATGGATGGTAGATATCCAGGTATGCAGATTTTGTTCACAATTTCATGGATTTTAATTTTTTCCCCGAACCCAAATTGTTTTTCTAAAATAAAACTACCCTAAGTTATTCCTTATAACATCAGCTATCTGCCAGTAAAAGTCGTGTCAAAATCAGTCCAACTGTTTCATGATTAGCCAGAACAAACAGTCAATTTTTTTTAATTTGTTTTTTTTTTCATATAAGTACCGTATATACTTTCATATGCATTTAGTAAAAAACTGTTATTTTGACATAACAAACAGACACATATATAGTGTATAGGTTACATTTCGAATACTACAGTTTTCGTAGATACAAAAATAGAGACTTAAACCACAGTCTACTAATTCATTTCATTCAGGTGGCTAAGGAAGGCCATAGGCACAACAATCGTGCGGGGCGTGCCGGAGGAGACGCGGTAGCGGCACACCTGACATTCATACGTTCTTTTTTATGAAAGGCGGAAGACGGCTTTAGGGTCAACAGCTATTACTATACCCTACCTTGACATGGCACTACAACAGCACTATAATTTCGAAATCATTCACCATGAAAATGGTTTTCATTTTTTGACAACCCTTGCATTTGACAACAATTCCATTAAAATCAAAGGCTACTGTATGAATTTTATACAGTATTTAAATAATTTAATGTAAGTAAAGATACCTCCGGCGTCAGGCTTGTTGAGATCATAAACTCTTATTAGTTTCTCATTGCTAGCGGTCAGTAGGAGTGTGTCATCAGAATTAAAGTTCACACTCTTCACTATGTGCTCATGATCAAAAGTGTGTACCACTTCACCGTATCTTGCATCCCATAATTTTGCTGTAAATGAAAGAAAAACGGTTTCAACATTAACACATGTTGTTAGTTTTTAGAAAACTGCATTTCAAGTATCCAATTGGAACCCTATTACCTATTATATTATTAGCCTATGTTGTAGGTACGTCCGTCTGTTTGTCCTATCTTTATAAAGATAATCACACTTTTGAATTTCAATAATTTTGCACTCGCACTTGGCCGGTTTTAATTTAAATTTTATTGCAAATTGTACTCTTACTAATATTATACATGTGAAAGTTTAGATAGACAGAGATAGATTAAAGACAAGAATAGCACATAGGCTACTTTTTATGCCAGAAAAATTTACAGTTCCCGTGGAATAGATTTGTTTCTGTTTTTCTAGAGGTGAACCGCTAGTAAATTATAAAATTGTAGTAATACCTGTAAAGTCTGCTGCTCCACTAGCAGCGAAATTTGCATTTTGTGTTAAAGCTACCCCCCACACTGCTCCTTTATGGCCTTCAAATGTTCCAATCCAGTCACCAGTCTCACCTTGTCGCAACATGGGTTTTCCATCTGAGAAAAAAATAATAATTTTTCAACATTTGCTACCTTAATTTTACCCATACATTATTAAATTGTTAGCTTAGCCAATGTAATTTTACTTTTTGCCCAACAACTGGATTGATAATGGATTATAAATCCCATCATGTTAATGCACGTCTGCATACAATAAATATAAAGACACTGCATTATAATATATATCTCATATGAAGAGAATATTTATTAAATTAAACTTATCATCATGGAAAATAAGCACCAGTTCCTCTGAGTAAGATAATATAAATAAATTTGCTTATTAGTTATTCAAATTGTAATTTGTTATCACTTTATAAGTGATCAAGAAAATAATAAATTATAATGTTTAAATAAAATAATAGTCTCAACTGATTAATCTATACATATAATTCTAAGTCGAATCTGTAAATTAAATATTTTTTGGAAAATCTTATAGAAATAGTCATTATTATCGATACAGAGGCCGAATCTATAGTTTTTAGAATTTTTGTCAGTCTGTCTGGAACGCATCACGAGAAACCCACTGGACGGATTGTCGGTATGGTGAAAGCTGGTTGTCCGGGTCAACATTTAGGATTTAACCGCGGGAAAATGTCTTTTTAGTGCAGGAAAATATCTCATCTCTGAGAAATCTAGGTTTACTAACCGTTAAAGCATACCTTGGCACGAACCTGAGTGGCTAGTATTATATATTTTCATTGCCTTGATGCCAGTGACAAAAAATCTGTTATGAGCTTTGCAAGTCTACACTTTGCCCAGTTACATTATATGTCAGAGTCAAAGAAAAGTTTACTAGGGTTACAATATAACCAGGCATCCAGGATATCTATCCTATCCTATCAATATAATAAATTATTTTTATGCTTGCCATCAAAAATAATAAAATACTATGACCTTCTGTGGCATTTGTGAGAGTCCTTGCTCTATTTCTTACAATAATTATAAGTAATACTTTTCTTTGCTGATTTATTATTTTCTGTCACATAATTTATTATATTTATATGTAATATAATAAAAAATGTAAAGAAGACTAAAGAAATTTTTTAAGAGCCCTTATATCAAAGTTAACATAGAAATGATTTTAAATATACATAGTATAATGTAATAAATATATTTTGTACATGTACATATTATGTTACTCATTTCTTTGTCAAGTCATAGTATATCAAATAATTATTCGTTTGATATACTGACTTTGGCAGTGAAGGCAATTGGTTACTCAAGCAAGGTGATCATGAATAATAGTTACAATATAAGTACTAATTTAAAATATTCTATAACAGTAATGTTGATCACTAGTTTACCTTTCATACACATTACCTTAAGCCGTTATCTATTGAATATGCAACTTAATTTATTGCATTCGTAAAAAAGTTGTGAATGGCAAAAGAAATATATTTTTATTAGAGAGAAATATATAATATGTATTTATATATAATTAATATGAACTTGTTTCTTAAAAAAATAATAATAAATTAATTTATGACAATTTAAAAGTTATTTGATGGAATTTTTAAACTATGTATTAGCGTGTAGCCCAAAAAACCATCTTACGTCTTATCATTTAAAGGGGGTGGTGTGTTTATCTTATGTGGTACTTTCTTATTTTGGCATATACAGTGGAGGAGAAGGTCTAAAATCCCTAAATATATGCTTTAGTAATACTGAAATGGCCCTTTACAATTAAATGGCAATAAACATTTAAAAAATTATAATAAATCTTTAAACTCTTTTAAATATTTCAATACTATGTAAACAATAACTAAAATATAACTAGTAAGTTAAATTTTTTAACTCAAACATTGCCTTATAATATAATTCTATTTGAATACTACTATTATAATAATTTACATTTAGTAGATACTTATTTTCATTACTAAAAATGGTAAACCAAGTTCATTATACAAAATTCAGATGAAAAACTTTCACAGAGAGGATCAAATGAAAATTCTATTTACATTTTTTAATTCAGTAAAATTTATTTAATTCATAAAAGGCTTTTAAGATAAGTCTAAAAGCATCACTTAGATTTTTTTACATATCCTTGTCTGAATAGTTTTCCCTAAGTTTATTAACAAAAAACAATGGAACAGTCATTACAAATATTTGAAAGTGTTTCCTTGTAAGGTATAATGAAAGTAATGTTTACTTTACCTTCTTTGTAGTAAACATTAATGTCAAGTACAAGTTGAACCTTGAAGACACAAGGTAACCCAGAGTATATCAGCAAAATGTCAACAAGATTGGCAGGAAAGATTTAACACTATAATTGTTTTGTATTTGCAATAAGAATTAAGTTAGTACACACGACAAGAATAAAAAAGCACGCAAGTATCAAGGTAAGCTACTGCCGCGAGGAAATATATGACCGGAACCTCAAGGCACTTCCTACATGTCCGGAAAGAGAAGGTCACTAAAGCCTTTGCAGAAATTACTCTGTCCGTTAGGTTCCAATACAAAATAAGAAAAGTGAAGGCCTTTCGAATATTCTTTCACACCTAACATCTGTCATATTAAATTCAAACAAATACGCCCAAACACACTTACAAGTCTTCCATCTACATGTAGGCCAAGGCAAAAGGGCACCCTAGTACGAAGTAATTATTAAACTTACCTTTGCAAGCCGAAATCAAAAAATATCCATCTTTTGTAATGTCACTGAAGTCCAAATGCACAACTGGTCTAGTATGGCCACCACATGTGAGAGGTACTTGTTTGAAAGTCGACATTTTAAAAATAATTTTTTGTTTGTTGTACTTTTGTAAAATAAAACTAGTTTCTTTTTAAAAATTAACCTAATGAGTCTGATCGTACTGGATGTTGACAATCGACTGACGGTAAAAGTTTGTGCAGTGTTGCAACAAGCTTCATAATTATTACAATATTCGCAAAGGTAACATTGTCTTTTATTATAATTTATATAAACCAAACCTGAATCATGGTGCTCATAATTTATTTATTGTTTATTAAGTTTACGATGCTTGACGTTGCCTTTCATTCATGCCAGTAGGTAAGTTACAATTAATTCTGGTAATTGGTAAAAGAAGTATGGTTAGTTCAGTACTTTTCTATAGTTATTTTATGAATGGTTATACAGCGTTTTTAGGATTTTATAACTAAAAATAGTGTGGTGAGTGGTCAGATTGACTTTTACGTGTTTAAATCTTTTCAAAAATAATTGAAATATCATTCAAAATAGGGAAGAATTCTACCTTTTTCTCACGCCAGATGTCACTATAGCCCTCAGTATATTGTAAAGTTCTATAACATTAATGTTTTTTTATTTTATTTCATATTTAATAAAATGACAAATTCGACAAGGCCAGGATACAAATAAAATGGATATCATTTGTTCCCAAAAGACAAAAACTGAAGAAATTGTGACCTAATAAGCTGCAATAAGGCAACTAAAACTGGCAAAATCACAATTCACAATCTTTATATTTAAGGCTATGTGAACATCATTTAGAGAAAGTGATTTAAAAACTCTTAAATCATCTACAGGTGAATATTCCTTTTTATTTTGTATTTATCACATATTAATTACATAGTTTCATACAAACTTTCATCCGCCATTTTACCTTCTTACTGGATTTAATTTTTAAAAAATGCTAAAACACGTATTTATTTAGTTGTAATGAAAAGCATTCATGCCAAGTTTCAAGTAATTCTGATCATAAGCAATTCTTTGTTAATATAAACTTTATTACCCCCTTTTACCACTTTAAGGGATGAATTTCAAAAAAAGAACTAAAAAATATATTTCCTATTTTTATCTTAAAGCTAAGCACCACTTTGTGTATTTCACATTAATAATGACAGAGTTTCATACAATCTCTAATCCCCTATTTTACCCACTAAGGGATGAATTTCGAAGAATCCTTTCTTATCGGATGCCTATATCATAGAATATAAGAAGAATAAGAATAGGTCCTCCAAATTTTACGTTTCTACGACCAGCGGTTTAGGCTGTGTGCTTATCCATTAGTCAGTCGAGACCACCACAAGATCCATCTCTCCTTCTCAACCCTACCTTCAGCTGGTCTAACATCCAGGTTCAATACATTGCACAGGTAAGATGCGAACACAATAGAAACAAAAAACCAGACACAAAACTGATATAAATTGCTTAACCTCAGACTGAATGTAAATAGGCCATACGTGTGGCGCTCCCCTATGGAGAAATCTTGCCCATTCTTTTTAAATTCAATGTTACCTGAGAAAATTGTATTTAAAAAAAGAATTTTATTGATTTTTAATCTGTATTTTATAATTGCTGTCGACAGTTTTACAAGTATATACTCTATGTTGACTGTCGAGTTGACGTGTCCGACGAAAGCCGACACATACGCAGACCCGTTAATTGTCAGTTTGTAACAAATAAGTAATAACAGAAAGTATTTAACATATAAAAGGATATTAAAAATGGATTTCTTTACTTCTATTCCCACTCATATAGATTATGTTGGGCAAGCGAAGGCGGAAAAATTATACAGAGCAATTATAACACTGTTTAGTATTGTTGGTTTTATTTGGGGTTACATCGTTCAACAATTCTCCCAATCAGTCTATATTTTGGGAGCTGGATTTATACTTGCTGCAATTTTGACCCTACCACCCTGGCCCATGTATCGTAGGAATCCTCTTAATTGGCAAAATCCGAGAAATACTGAAGAGAAATCTACTGGCAAAAAAGGAAAGAAGTGAAATACATCAAACCATGACGTGTCGCTTTGTTATTGATCTTGTGGTTTATATATTAATTAATAAATAGATTTTAAGGTAAAAATCTTTTATTTTACATCTAATATAAATTACAAAGAAGAAAGTCAAATAAAAGCACATACATTAGGGCACTGGTGTAAATTTTAATACATACTATGTATCATAACATTGGACTAGTCAATATAAATTTATACATACATGAAAAAAAATAAAAAAATATTTTAATGATGTTATAAAACTACATCCTTATCAGTTTTTTTTATAAATGAACAATATATTTACTATAATGTACTAGATCAATTTTTATAACTAATTATAAATTTTCACTGAAACTAAACTTTTCCCTGAGATTTTTGAACATATTATATATTCTATTTTCATTGCATACATCACATTCACTAGATTTTTTATCATTATCGTCATTGATTTTCTCATTGTCAGTTTCTTTGGTCTCTTTGTTAGTATCAGATGTAGATTGATCATTGGACCCACATTCTTTTGACTCTTCTATATTTTCTTGTATACAAGCATTACTTTCATTTGTACTCTCCGAAGCTTCCTCACTATTACTTTTTTTGATGTCCTCTCTATCATACAATTGTTGTATAGTGATAACCAAAAACATAAAAGTGACACCATAGTTGACAATCGAAAGTGAAAATGGCCCTAAGGCTAATATAAACACAGCCATTGTGAAGAGTAAGGATGCTACTGCTTCATAATTCCTCCTGAAAGTAAAAATAATCATATATCTAAATGTTTCATTGGGATTAATAACTAGTAGTTTAAAATTAAAAACTTGAAACCATGTTGTAAAAGTAAAATGTCATTCAGTCACTGACTAAATATGAAATTTTGAAAACTAAAAATAAGGACATTGTCTAAAACAGACTTGCAACACTTTGACAGGGAGAAATAAAGAGAAATGGTTGTTTATTTATATGTAACACATTTTTATGGGACTATGACCAATCAAGGAGGGATCGTTTTGGGTTATTTTTGGAATTCCATACACTACTCTTTTGTTTTATTTAATAACCTAATTAAATAATTTATAAAAAAATATCTAAATAGATATTAAGGTCTCTGACGACCAGAAGAAATTTTTACAATTTATATACACCCAGAAAAAAAAACAGGCAGATGACGGCTAATTATATATAAAAACAGGTATGATATAGTTATATTAATTTGTTATTCCAAGCATTTTGTAATTTTGATAACAAAATAAATAATTATAATAATAAAATTGTAGTATATTACTTACAAGTTACTTTTTGGACCATTCATCTGCCATACAATAGCTGAGCATGCTGACATCACAAACCCAGTGTGATAAGATGTATCAGGCTTCAAAACCATACTGTACCTGAATTTTTAAAACAGTCCATTAAAATGTAATCAATAAATGAATAATAAAATAACACATATGAATTAATAATATATAATTACTTGAAATTACGAGCCCAAGTCAATAACGGTGGGATATTTACTACAGTCACAACTACCCATAGAAAGAACATCATCATATGGAAGTTAATATTATTAAGGTCTTTATCAATGTTCAGCGTTTCAGCTTTCTTTTCATTACATTCCGTCTGTTCTTCTTTTTCTTCTGAATTATTTCTACTTATTAAACTTTTTGATTCATCAGTTGTTTCTATTTCATCTTTTTTATCTGTGTCTTTGTCTTTAGAAAGAACCTTATTTTCTATGGCTTTAGGCTTTTCTGATGTAGTAATTTGAGATGAATCTTGTTTATATTTTATGTTTGATTTAGTTTCACTTTCTTTTTTAGATTTGAACATGCGACACATTCGGCTGGCAATTTTAGACATCATTTTATAAACATAATCTTCTAAATATTCTTCATACATTTTTGAAAGCTGTTGAACAAAAATTTAGATAATAACTGATTTTTTTTAAAGAAACCAAAATTTATATTCTTTTTCTTTTCAAAAGGACAAACTTTAAAAGAAAAACCGGCTTCCAGGCACTAAAATGTAAAAAATAACTAAACGGGGGTTTTCATTTAGAATAATCCTAATCAGATATTATCGAAGTCGGTGCCAGCCGATGCAAAACTAATCTAATATATTTCGATACGTAAAATACATCACAAATTAGAGTTTATACCTAATCATGTTTACCTATTAGATATTCATAACTTAAAATATTGTTGGCTAGCATACATACTTATATGTATGTATGTACAAATCAAATATGAATATGTTGGGACATTAACACACTAAACATATATAACTTTAAATACATATTATAAATATAAACACCCATGAATATATGACACAAATGAATACCTCCAACGGGATTCGAAGCCGCGACCGCTGGCACAGCAAGTAGGGTCATTACAAACTGAGCCAAATGTGTGAAATCGAATCAAAACTAACCATAAATGCATAGAAAGCAGCTCCGGCTGTCAAAGCTGCGGCGCCACAGGACAAGGGCACGGCGCACACCAGTGAGGCGCTCACTAACATCGGAACTTTTTGTAGCCCCGCTGCCATTCTCTCCGCCAGGCCGGTACCACCCCGCCATACTATCCTAGTTTGATGGAATTAAATCATTAACATTAGAGATGCGCCGAATGTTCGGCCGAATATTCTTATTCGGTATATTCGGCGCTTTTTTGTGTTCGTATTCGGCCGAATATTCGGTTAAAATGCCGAATAATTACCGAATATTTCAAAAAGTATTATGTTATGATTTATAATTTAAAAAAAAGGCTCTACACTAAGAAATATATAGTATGTGAATACTATGAAACACGCACTACTTGCGTAACTATAATTTATTGACAAATTAAAATAAATATTTAAAAAATCATCAAAATTCAGTTTTTAATATACAACATTTGTTTTCCAACAAAGAAAATTTAGTTTTTGTACCTTTCGTCATATCTGTTATTAGAGATACCGACATGGATAATCACGTTTACTACTTAAAAATGAACCGAATTATTCCACCGAATGTTCAGTTCGGTACATTTTGGACCGTATATTCGACCGATTCTGTATACAGAAGCAGTTTGTTTTTTTGAAAATTGAGCGCGCTAATCGCAGAAACTACTGATCCGATTTAAAAAAAATTCTTTGCATTAGATAGCCCATTTATTGAGGAAGGCTATAGGCTATATATTAACCTGGAAAATGACCAATTCCCGTGGGATAAATTTGTTTTTGTCTCACACGCCGCGAAACGAGTGTGAGTCGCTATTAAATTATAATACTAATACGAATGCATAATACCTGAAAAGCAACCTATGAGCTATTTGCGAGGAGAACACCATCACAACGAGCACGGCCGCCGCCACCACATTGACGACGCCGAGCGCGGTGACGTACGCCGGCAGCACCAGCAGCGAGCGCGCGAAGTACTGCAGCTCCAGGTTCTTCCAGCTCGCGTTCTCGAACAGAAACGATAGAACTGGGACTGACCTGCATACATTAAAATATATTTAAAATTCATTTAATATTTTATAAATATTAAGTAGGTACTAGATTAAAAATATATATATATATATATATATATATATATATATATATATATATATATATATATATATATTTCAAATAAAACTATCTTTTCAGATTTTTTTCGCGGAATAATTTTGATTTTTGGCTCCTAAACTTTCGAATGATGAACACTTTACAGCAATCATGGTCATGTGAGGTTTTAGACGTCTAAAAGGTAATTCATTTTAAATATAGTTGTTACAGACAGTACCTACTACCTTCCCACAAAATTATACAATGACTTCATATTTTATGTTATTTTGAAGTTGTTATAACTTTTAAAAAATAAATATTCCCCTTCATTTTACAATTCACTAGAATAGTCTTGGTGTTAGTAATGGTCTTCACATAAAAAAAATTAAATTATAATCATCATAAAAACAATAATATGATCTTTTAAATAACCTATTAGAAGAATGTCTGTCATACAATTATAGTTTAACCCCTTATTTTTCAACAATAATTGTATCATTACTAATCGTTATAAAATACCTTAAAAAACCTTTAAAATAAAAACACCATACTCACGTAAGTCCCATGGCCGCCAATCTACTAAACACCAAAACATAATACGGTTTGACTCCTTCACTCATCAGAGCATTATGTATGGACACACACGTGCCGTGTTCTTTTAGATGTAGTAAGTTACTTCTTGCTGCTAACAATAAAATGGCTGCCACATAAGGCACTAGCACTGGGGTGTAGTTGCGTGAGAGCTGAGCTAGGCGATGATACCAGGTGTTTGATATACTGTAAATAATAAATGTTATTAAAATAATTATATATTTATAAGTAAAAATATAAAATATAAATGTTTCCTTAAAAGCAATTTATAAGTGAGAAGTATATACTCTATGAAAGATAGAAAGATGAAAGTTTGTATGGAGAAGCAACCTAGGGACGAACCCAAGCGAAGCGAGAGTGAGTCGCTAGTTACTAATATTTTAAGTAACTGTGGATAGTTTATTTCCTGAATTAAAACAGGCAATATGTATAACGTGCGAGCGAAATCGCGGGCAAAAATGATTTGCAAAAAAAAAAATATATATACCTAATACTAAATGTACATTTAGGATCCAGTAGAAGTGTAATCTTGGGGCTCTCTGCCGCGTCGAAGCCTAACGTCACGTTAGGGTTGCTCTTGAACAGGCGTAATTTCATAGGCGATCGTTTGAGATGTCTAAAAATAAAATAACATTAAGAAATAAGTAACTACTTATTATAAAAAATAAGTATAGTAAATTGAGCATTTTCTACTACAATTCATTTATTGCAAAAACCAATATATTTCTATTACGAAAAAAATATGTAAACAATGCTCATAAAAATGACGAATTAAATCGAAAACAATTTATATTGTATTTTTTTATCCATTTTGAAAATTAAAAATAAGAGAGAAGATCGTAAAAAAAATACAAAAAAGACGTGTGTGTGTGTACTTATGTACGCACGTAAGAATTTATTCTTCTTTGACATAACATAACAAAGTTAAAGATTTGATCCCGTATGTCACAACTCTGTTTGTAAAAGGAATGCAGATAACTTCATCATGTTGGTTTTTGGCTAAAAAAAATATATTAAAAAAAAAAGATAAAACTTACGTAAAATATTGATACGATTCATGATTAGCCCAAGGCACGTGTAATTCTGCGGACGCGTGATATTGTCCTTGACAATTTATGGGTTCCACATACAATAAAAACGCTTGGTGTATCAAATGAAAATCATTTAGAATCAATTCGTAATATAAACTATTTGGTTCAGTTTCTGCTTTCACTATCTGTTTTCCAAATGAAAATATTGAGGGTAGATTTACATTTATTTGTCGAGATGCGAGATCATTTATGTCCACGTTTAACGTTATCTGTGGAGGATTTACATATTATTATTATTCATTTATTTTATAATAAGCAGCTTAAGTAAATGCTTTAAGAACTTGAGCTTTATACATATTCATAGTTTAATTTACAGTTTTTTTTTATTTAATTAACCTCTGACGCAAAAATAGAGGTGTTATAAGTTTAAGGTATGTCTGTGTATCTGATTGTGGCATCGTAGCGCCACCGGAAGATATAAACGGGTGAACCGATTTTGTGTGTTTTTATACTGCAGATATATCGCCTTTAGGCTCACTGAAATGGCCTCAATGAATAGGGATTAACTTTTAAGGATTTTTTAAGTTTTTTAAGTGAAACTCCTTTAGAATCGTTGTAATTTGAAACTCGATGAAACGAAAATACGACACTAAAAAGAGACAAACGCTTAAGTATATAGGATTAACGCGGCGAGAGTATGAGATAGAATATATGCCATGTTGCCATGGTAACCGTTGTTATTGTCTGACAAATATGTAATATAATATTCTTTCCGTATATGATATTCTATTAATATATGATTGTATATGCCTAATATGCCTTATTTAATTATTGATTTGTTTTAATTTAATTGCGATATTTACCAAAGAAGTTTTACTTCAACCGCGCGTAAAGGTTACATGCACCTATTTTTTTTTAATTTAATTCCTTGTCATAATCTATGTTACTCTAAAATACATATGGAACTCACTGGTTTCCTAGTCGGCGATACTCTAACAACTACATGGGTCCATTGGGGTTCTATTTCCATAATTTTATGTAAATGTACTGTCGCCAATTTCCTTCTTCCGAAGTCTATGGCCGCTCCCGTCCAACGAGATAACTCGCTTAGAGAAGTCGCTTCTTTACTGAAATTATTATAAACCTTACTAAGGTTCATTACTCTATTAATCTATACAGATAAATAAAATTGAAGTATCTGTTTGTAATGTCAAAACTACAGCCTTTTACTAAATGTATATGAAAGTATATACGGTACTAATAAGAAAAAAGGATTTTTTGTAGGTTTGTTCCGGCTAAGCTCCGAAACGGCTGGACCAATTTTAATGGGACTTTCACTGGCAGATAGCTGATGTTATAAGGAGTAAATAAGGCTATTTTTATTTTAGAAATAGTATCAGGGTTCCGCCCAAAAAACATTAAGACCCATGAAATCGTGAACAAAATCCGCGTACCTAGGCACGCACCTGAGCAAAGCGTAAGTCGTTATCGTTATTATATCTAATATAAATTGTATGAAATTTGTAATGATGTTTTTTTTTATAATTTAAACTCATTGTATAATTTTCTGTCTGTAACAAATTTTAGGATAGCTTACCAATGTCTATAGTTATTGTATATATATTTAGCATTACATCCAAATATCCAATCCTTATCTGATACATTGACAGCCTCCACGGCCACAAATCTGTTTTGAGGGAATGTAACAAGCCTTATCATTAAGTGAGTGGTCCTGAAAAAAAAAACGTTTAAATGAAATGAAATAAACTTTACTCAATTAGACTTATTATAAACACTTTTTATAGTAAATCTATACATATAATATAATTCTAACTAAGCCGAATCTGTACATTAGATATTTTTTGGAAAATCTTATTGAAATGGACATTATTATCGATGCAGAGGCCGAATCTATAGTTTTTAGAATTTTTGTCTGTCTGTTACAGCATCACAGAAAAACCACTGGAGGGATTTTGATGAAATTTGGTATGGCGATAGCTGGTTATCGGGGTCAACATATAGGATACTTTTTACTGCGCGAAAATATCTCATCGGAGAAATCCATACTAAACGTTAAAAAGTAAGTAGGGACGAACCCGAGCGGATCGAGGGTGAGTCGCTAGTATTGTATAATTATTGTATATTGTGTTGTATATTATTGTACAATATTAATTATTTGTTTAAAGCATATACATATGTTATATAGTTGAAGTACAATTGATATTTCGCTTCTCGCTTCGCTCGGGTTCGTCTCTAGCTTGCTTCCTAAACTTTCTCCCCATTTTCACCCCCTTAAGGGATGATTTTCTGATTTTCTTCCTGATGGGATAAAAAGTATTCTTTGTCCTTTCCAGGGTCTCAAACTATCTAAATCGGTTTAGTAGATACATAGATTACCCCCTACGACGTCACAAACTCACAAACTTTACCTCCTTATAATATTATAGTATTATGTGAAAAGCGATATTTTTACTATTGTTCACGCAATTTTTATATTTTTTCTCTATATTGAAACAGTCCGTATACCTTAAAGAACAAACAAAAAAAAAACCTGAATTGGTCGAGCCGTTCTCGAGTTTTGCGCTTAGCAACATTCATTTTTATTTATAAAGAAGATTTATCACAAATGATAAGAAAATATTATCTAACAGTGAATTATAATCTAGTACCTTCCTATTAAGTGGAAATAAGTATGTCAAAATATTTAGAATGGCTGTAAGTAGTACATGTTTAAAACAATGATTATACAGTTAATTATTATAATTTAATGTTTCTGTAGCAAAATACCTGCCGATAAAAAAGTGTTCCCAATATAATTTTCAATGATAGAGTCAATCGCCGTGACAAACGATCAATAAAACATTAATCCATCGTGGTTCTACTTTTAAGACAATTCTTTTGTATATTTATTTGATTTCAGTTCATTTTAGCTAAATGCTGTGCAGTGTACCTATAAGCATTAGTGTTCATAGAAGTTTATAGAATATGGAATATGCATATTATTTAAAAGTGAAATATATTTTTTATAATCTTTATTGCTTTTGAATGAAGCTTACATCAATATTTTTTAATGTAATTTCTTTATGATTGAGAAAATAATAATTATAAAGTTTAAACATAGTTATGATACTTTGACGTCACGTCAAGCGCGCGAAATGGCGGACGTTTAAAGTATCCGTATTGGTGGGATATTTAAAAAAAAGTACACAAAATTTTAGTTTTTTTTGAGCTGGATATTTTTTTAGGTACAATTATATTATAACGATGTTAGCTATTGAATGTTTTATTTAAAAAATCACGCATATTCCCTATTACCCCCTATTCCCTACTTTATAAATTAATATCTTAATTACTTTAAATCACTATTTAAAGCTGAAACCTTACATTTAAAGGTAAAAATTTTCTCGAGGTTCATATTTCACTTAAAAGCTTAATATTCCAATTAAACGCCGAAACTTATCAAAACTGAATGTTCGATGGAACACAACCGTAAATATCGTCATCAAAATAACCTTGGAATTTCATTGAATAAAGAAATACGTAACGTTGTGACGCAACATGCTCTTGAACTACGTAGCAAATATTTTAAGTCTGGAGAAATGCCAGCATTGCATTTGTTACGTACGGACGAATTATATCATTTGTATTTATATAACGATTACTGTTTATTTGTTTTCAGGTTATGCATCTTGTTAAATACATACTTATGAAAGCTTTGTAAGGATTTTGAATGAATTTGTGTAGATTTTTCGACGTCTCAGTGCTTATTTGTCCAATACAGAATTATCGACTTTTAAATGTCAATTCTATTGGTATAAAATACACCTTTTACTTTAAAAAAGCCGAAATGATATTTCATGTATGCATATAAATCTTTTAAATAAAGCTATGTTTTTAAAGTAGAGGAAAAAACTCTTTACTGTAAAATACAATAAGTATTGGTCGTTTGAATTAATAAGCACTATGGCGACGTTTTCTTTGAAGTGTTTTGTAATTCAGTATCTGCCTTTTCATACTGATTAGGCGTAAATTACATCTGATTATTGAATTGTTAAATCTTAATATCATTCCTTGCACTTATAACACAATCAAGATGAAGTAGGTCATTAAATATAGTTGCACAGAATGTGCCTCCTTCCTCTAGTCTGATTTAGATACAATTCCACGAATTTAATTATTATTTTCATATGTAATTTTAGAAAAAAAATACAAATTAAATAATAAAATCATAATAACATAAGAGCTGCTCTAAAAACACATTCTATAGATTAGAATTATAAACGTAGTCATTGATATCTCAATTCTGCAGTAACTGGCCGGGACTATGAATAATAACATTTACCTCATAACGGGAATCGAATTTGGGACTTCAATTGTACTGTGTCAGAATAGTCCACTACGATGTCTAACTAATATCGAGCAATATAACAGATTGTTCGCAGAAATAATAATATAGAATATTACCTACTTACCTATCAATCTCCGGACGAGATATTTGGTACATTCGTCTATTATCTTCGTACCAGAACGCATCAGCTTGCATTGTCACGTTAGAACGTTTTGCTTTTGGATCCAAAACCATAGAACGGTTGGCCTAAAAAAATACTTTTCATTAAAAAAGTTAAATAAATATGATATGGCGTTTTCCGTGGCGCTACCTTTTCATGTTTATATTTCAAAAATAAGTTGAAAAAAAATTTTTTTTTCGATATGTATCTCCTTTCGTTTGGAGATAGAAGTTTGAAGTTTTTAGTTTTAAATTACCTATTCTATATATCTCGCTCCGCTCGCGTTCGACCCTAGCTATGTTTTAGCGTTTAGTATAGGTTTCTCAGAGATGAGATATTTTCCAACAGTAAAAAGTATCGTATACGTTGACCCGGATAACCAGCTATCATCATGCCCAATTTCATCATAATCTGTCCAATGTTTTTCTCATGATGCGGTCCAGACAGACAGACAGACAGACAGACAGACAGACAGACAAAAATTATAAAAACTATAGATTCGACCTCTACATCGATAATAATGTCTATTTCAATGGGATTTTCCAAAAAATATTTAATGTACAGATTAGTTACAATTTTACTAAATGTATAGATTTAGTTTTAGAAAGACATGTAAAGACTGCCAACTATGACCTAAGCATTCCTGCACTGAGGAGGACCGAGACGAGCATAGGGATGCCGGATGTTAACAGGGCTGCCAAGTGCCAGGTTATAATAGAACCATACACTTCATTAATTATTTAAAAAAAACGGATCAGAGATAATTGTGATGAATACATTTATTGCATTAAGAGATAAAGATTTATTTTAACTACATCATTTAATTATAAATTTTGTCGTAATAATATGAATCATGGAATTAGCATCTGATGACCAGACAAACCAATCTTTTGTTTATAGAACCCGCTAATACGGGGACAATATAAAAATCACACACCGTTAGCATGACAATAGGATCTTGGACTGTTTTATGAAAAGTATCTCAGCCTATTGTTTACATAAATAAAATGCTGCTAAAAATATTTTCCCGCAGAAAGTACTGTATTCTTATGTAAAAAATTCGAAAATTATTTTTCACTTTTAAATTTGGCGCTAAAACGTCTATCGTCTTCTATCCCTTGTTTACAAAAAAGGACTTATACTCGGAATTATAATTCGATTCCACATTTGACATTAGCTACTGTCATTTTGTAAAATAATGATACCACATATAATAGTGTAGTGATGAAAACAAAAATCGATAAACAATCGCGATTGATGTTTATGTAATCATAATATTGGTGTGCCAATTAAAGACTAAATTATTGATTTTTATTTAAATAAATACATAATTATTCATAATAATTATTTATTAATTAGTAACCACTGCTTTATTTTATAAAAAGTTCATATTTTTGTTTTTTATATTAAAAACAAAACTTATAATAAAAGAGTCTAGATAGATAGTTTTCTGTATTGGCAACCCTTGCAAAAGAAAACTCTCAGATCCTTAATAAAATTAATCGTCGTAACTAAATTATCCGTTCAGAAATATTTAATTTCCTGATATACTTAGTTTCTATTAAAGTAGTAGTTGTTTAGATATACTACTATAAACGAGAGGAATCGATCCGGAAATATTCCATTTCTGTATCGAATAATTTCGCAACGTCACTATTTAGTACTTGTCATAACGTCGCAACACTGAAATTGTCAAATCTGGAATCGAATTAAAATTCCGAGTATAGGATTAATTTTTAGTTAAAGTAACGGAACTTACAATTTTTATATTTTTTAACTTATATACTCAGAGATAAAACTGTTCAAGTTGTGCATTTGTCGGCATTTTCGTTTTTTAATGAGATGTGATTTATTTAATTTAAAAGAAGAATTTACTTCTAACAGGTTTAAATAATGTTTGAAATCTAAAAATTATACAAGCGGCTATGATGAATTTTTGTCTGTCTGTGCGCATCACGAGAAAACCGCAGGACACATTTTGATGAAATTTGGTATGATGATAGCTGGTTAGCCGGGTCAACATATGGTATACTTTTTACTGCGGGAAAATATGTCATCTCTGAGAAATCTACGAACCCGAGCGGAACGACGGTGAGTCGCTAGTCTATATCTATACTAATATTATAAATGTGAAAGTGTGTTTGTTTGTTTGTCTTTCTTTCACGTCGAAACGGCTTGGCGGATTGGCGTGATTTTTTGTGTGGTGATAGATGTAGGGCTAGAGAGTGACATAGGTACTTTTTACCGCGGGAGATTATCTTTTTGCCGCGGGAAAACACGTTATAATACAATCTTAAAAAATATTTATAATCCGAATTACTTGAAACTTGGTATAAATGCTCTTCAATAAAAATAATTTAATACGTGTTTTAGCATTTTTCAAAATTCATCCCTTAAGGGTGTAAAGTAGAGGATGAAAGTTTGTATGAAACCTACCATTATAGTTTTTTTATAGTTTTAGCGCGAGAGAAGCCGCGGGTTCTGCTAGTACATATGTATATTTAATAGATACCTACGAGTACCACTTGAAAGATATACATATCCAACCTACAAAAATGTATTTGACATACATGCAACAATCATTTTTTATAGTTTTTGGAATATAATTAATTATTTTTTATTTGTTATATATGAACCAAATAATATCATAAATGCTTAAGTTTGTAAATGAGATATTTTTTTACACTTATAATTTTTTGGGTTCCAGCTATTTCCACTAAACTTTTGGTCTAGTCAGATCAAATCAATTTAACTATACAACCAATATTAATTACCATCCTATCACTGCAAAATAAATAATGATTAGACAACAAACAATTGTGTAGTTTTACCTAGTATTTTTTTATTTATATTCTGTTTCTGTGCCTAAAGGTATAAAATACGATAAAATTGTGAAAAATAACCAAAAAATACACACCTTAAAATATTGTTTGGCTTTGGTGGCTATTTTCAAATTATTTTCTGTAACTTGTTTAGTCGAAGGGTTCACGATGTCAAATAGAAAACGGTTTATCACCATTACAAGTTGCTTACACCACACCATACTTACATGGTCTGGTGTCAACCATACTCCTGGTATAGCTGTAACCTATTTCATAACAGAAAACAAAAATTATACAAGGAAATAAATATTAAAAAGATACAAGCAAAAATCAATACAAAAATGGAATAAAAACATTAATTTGATACAATTAGCTTTTTTTAAATAATAGAGATGATTTTTTTTTAATAATATTGTATGAAAACTTACACACAAGTCTTCACCATTTTTTTAAAAAACAACAAATAATTGAATTAAAACTTACCAAAACATTCACATGACTATCATTTGAAGATGTCAGACCAGCTGGAACTAATACATCCCTAGGTCCACTACCAATACTTATCAAAAATTTCTTTTCTTTTATTTCATTTCTAATATAAGCCTTCCACTCTAGTTCCATAAGCATATAATAATCATTAATAACTGTGTCAAAGTTTATTACTGGGGCTTCAATAGGAGTAGCTAAAGTTATAGCTATGTTTGTTGTGTTGATTGTACTTGGATATGCCAAAAGTCGCTTAGCAATTAAGCCCCCCTTAAATTTCAATAATGCTTTTATTTCTAAACCAATTCAAATAAATTATTGGATTATTTAAATAATATAATAACATACCATAGAATGTCCAATTAAAATAACTGAAGTCGGCACAGGTTTTATATAACTATTACTTTTATAAAGACTTAATATTTTAGAAATACAAGCTGCAGCAAACTGAGTCTGGGTTTGAAGTACACCACCATATAAACCAGACAGCTCCTCATTATAATTTACTAAAAACAATACAATATTGTGTTATTCATGAATTTTTACTAAATATAATGTTTACTTTTGATCTTCAATTTAATCAAAGATAAACAGAAAATTAAGTACACTTACTTGTAAAGAAATCAAAATGATACTCATATCCCTGTGACAAAGATTTTCTTAAGGCTACAGAAGCTAAGGATCTAGCTTGCATATGACTACCAGAATTCCCTGGTAAAAACAGAACGGGTATGCCATTGAACCTAAAAATACAATAATTAAAAATAATATAACATTTTCGTTGGCTTCATTTTTATTCATATATGTATTATTTTTGAGCTTCTGTTTGTCAAGTCTTACCACATTTTTCTAGCTCTTTCAGTGAAGCGCCCTTCACTATAGGCATAAAGTCCATATTGCGGGGAAGTTTTATCATCATCCAGAGAAATTTTCTAAAAGTAAATATTTATAATATTTTTTCTTGTATTAATTATCATTATATTTTAATTATTTAACCAAAACCTGACTTACCACAAATTGAGGATACTCAAACATATATGTCATAGCACAATAATTATTTTTATCGCTAAAATAATTATTTAATATACCAAACATATATGCCACAACAAAAATACAAGAAAATATTTGAAAAACGCTTAAACTAATAAAATTTATGAGTTTCATTTTTATTATTCTATCTATTATGTACCAATATATATTTAAGGCTCTTATTTGAAGGAAAAATTAACATAAAATCGCTATAATTAAAAATTTATTTAAAATTCACATTGTGACTTAAAAAAAATTAATAAGGAACAATACGAAATAGGACCGTGGCCAATGGCAAACATACCGATACAATTTAATTTTAATGACATTTTACACTTGACATTTACATAAGCATGTACAGACAAAACACTTTTGTAAATAACTTGTAGCCAGCAACACTGATAGGAAAGTGTTTGTCATTTCCCCCACCAGATGTCGCGGTCACTATGATTCTCAGTAAATTGTAAAGCTCGATAGCGTGGACGGTTTTTTTTTAATTAAAATTTAATTAAAATGACAAATTGTGCAGTGCCAGGATGCGATGAAAATGTTTACTATAATTTATAGAATAAGAAAAAAGATTTTTTTTATTTATGTCCAAAAGTAAAAAAATTAAAATCTGCAGTGGGGAAGGATTTTGCCTTTTTGTCCCACTATATGTCATGATCACTGTGATGCTTATTATATTGTAAGGCTTTATTGCGTGGATGGTAATTATTTCATTTTATTTAGAATTTAATGCAAATGACAAATTGCTTTCGCCAATTTTGGTCGTCTTATTGCCCATATTATAGCCCACTATTTCTTCTGTTTTTATCTTTTAGGAACAAATGATATCTATTCCCTATACATGCTGGTACTGCACATTTATTTTAATAAAATGAAAACAAAAAAAATCCATCCAGGCTATGGAGCTTTACAATATACTGAGGGCTATAGTGATCACGACATCTGGCGGGAGAAAAGGGCAAAATTCTTCCCTATTATCCATATTAATGTCATAACATATATTTAATATTTAGTCTGTAAATTGTAAATGTTGTTTTAGAAATTAGAGTAATCTGTAATTAGAATTCAGATTTCAAATTATCAAATAGAAATTTCAAAAAATATTGTAAAGTTTAAGTTAATATAATAGATTTTTATAACAATTCTAAATATTACATAATGGAGCTTGTTACTTACTGTTTAATAGCAGTATGTCTTACACTTATTGCAAGAGTTTTATTCTTGATTTATAAAATATTTAAAAGTGATTGTGGCTTAATTACTGGAAATAGATCATTAAAAACACTTTACTGCATCGGTTCTGGTGGGCATACAACAGAATTAATAAGACTTATGTCTTATTTAAATGCTAAGAAATATCAGCCACGTTTATATATTCTGGCAAAAAATGATATTAATAGCGAGGCTAAAATCCTTAATAAAGAAAATGGTTCTACTGATTACAGTATATACAGAATACCACGAAGTAGAAATGTAAAACAATCCTATATTTCTTCACTATTCACAACTATTTATGCGATTTTATGTACTATTCCTGTTATTTATAAATTCAAACCCAATGTAATATTTTGCAATGGCCCTGGCACATGTATACCAGTTTGTCTGGTTGCTTTCTTTTTTAGATGTCTTTTCATATTAGATTGCAGAATAGTATTTATTGAAAGTCTATGTAGAGTTAGAACATTATCTTTATCTGGCAAAATATTGCAATTTTTTGCAGATATATTTATTATACAATGGCCTCAATTAAGGCATGCATGCTTTAGAGCTAAGTATTTTGGTAGGTTAACATAGTTATATATGTTAACATAATTTATTTATAAGTATTTTATTATTGTCTTCATGTTAGCATTTAATAATTCTTTAATATAAACTTTATGGGTTTCTCAATCTTTGTGATAGTGAGAGACAGTAGTGTATTCATTGTTTTTATTTTCAATTAATAAAATTAACATTGTAAATGAAAAAGCCTCATACATATGAATATGTAGTTTTCATAAAAATAACTACCTCTTAACTATTAATTATATGTGAAATAAAGTACATATGTAAGCTCTGTTAAATCTAATGCTACTTGAAATGAAATTATAAAAGAAATCACAATTAAAACAATTGAATTTATAATAAATATACATGTAATCTTTGAAGTAATATCTATTTCAGATCAACAGTATTCTATATACAATAAATGTAATGTATCCCATATAAATTGCCAACAATGTAAAATGTAAATCCTTCAGTCTTCGCAATAATTAAGTGCATTCTTTGATCACAAATGTTTAATTTCTATCACTTCAACATTAAAGAAATAGAAAATCAACATATCAGCTATTCGTTTTCAAAATATTGTAATCCATTTTAACTTAATTTTTTCTTGAGATCTAAATCTAGATATATTTTGATTACTAATTAATATTTCGAGTTTTTTTACTTGCACAATATATTGAAAAACAATTAGTAATACAGACTTATTTCATTTATATTTCATTAATTACATTACGAATATTGGACATGTCTTACCCATCTACAAATCAATACTAATTTGTGCATACAGGAACCTATTATTTATATCAGGTGATAAGAACTGAAAAAAGTTATAATAAATTCTTACCAAAAAAGTTTGTTAAATTACTATTTATGATGTGATAGTAACTATTAGAAAACAACATTTTAGTTTGTTTTTATAAAGGCATTCTAAGGTAATGGTTATTTTGTAGCAAGGAATATTTTATCTTGTGTTTGTCATATTTGTTTAGTCCAAACCTCAGAGGATGGAAACAGTAGACAATCACTAGAAAATGTGCAGAAATGTGTAGAAAATGCACCACTATAATATCTATGGTGTTACAATGTCAAGCCTAAATGTTTTTAAGCTTTATATAAAAAAGGCACATAATTTTAAGACTATTTAGCCATAAGGCAAACTATAATATTATCTCATATGATAGAAGGCTGTCTATCTGTCAGACTAACCTATTACTATTAGGCATTAGCATGTAAGTATCAATTATCATTTTTCTGTTCTCTTATCTACCACAGACTAAACTGTAAACAATGTTTACTAGCAAAGTAATAACAACAAATGCATAATCTGTATATTACATTATTAAAGTAAATAAATAACAGATAATAATTATATGATAAAATCAAAACAAAATAGTGGAGCTACCCTTTACACTGGGTATTTCTAATATTTCAGTAGCAATATTACTTTAATAAAAATATTCGGACAATTCTTAATTATAAATAATAATAAAACTAAATTATATCTTATTTGATAACTTAATATAAAGAAATTAGAGACACTATGAAATTCTGACAATGACCAGTCCAGATGAAGTGTTAAAATCGCAAGTACATCTTAACTTATATTACCATATGATACAAACCCTATAAGAATATTGCCAATAGGTCAATATTTTAGGCACATTAGAGAATACTATAAAAATGTTAACTACAACTGTAAAATCATAAGTACAAAGGGAAGAATTAAGTTCACAAGCCTACTATAAAAATATAGTACTTAAATTTTTATATTTACGGTTTGTTGACATCATTATTTGAATTAGTTAGATTGCTAGTTTCTTGCTTTGCAGCATTGGCATTTTTATTTTCTATGTGATATTTTTCTTCATCAATTAAATACATAGCTTCATCATAAGTAGGTGGTGGCAGATCTGAACTTGAAGCCTGTGGTTTACTTACTGAAGCATTAGATATAAGAGCATCATAAGATGGAGGTAATGTAGCACTTGAAGCTGTTCGAGGCACTTGACCAGTATATGCTTGCTCTGCTTGAACACTGGCCATATCCTACAAATTTCAAATAACTTATAACAGTAATTAAAATAAATTTAAAAAGAGAAAGTATTACAACTTTGCTTTCAGAGAAATCTAAATGTACTATCAAACATATTGTGTAAAGCTTTGGTTTTTTCCTCATGGCTTCTCCCACAGATTAAGTGAAGCTATTAATAACTGCCATCCATAAATTACTGAAAGTATTATTTGTTAAAAGAGTTTACATGTCAGTGATGAATTTAGCACAATATGCTAATGAATAACTGAACTCACCCTGATAATCGCACGTTGGTGGAGAAGCATTTGTATAACACTTTTCCTACGCAAATACAACATACTTTTAACAGCTACCATCATCCCAGAACATATAAATATGGGTCCCACCAGCCACATGTGTCCTAAATTACTAAGAATATAGCCGTCAGCGTCACCTAGAGCTAGTACTGTTATAACTGTTCCCACAGAAAATAAGACCATTGAAAGTACAAAGTAGGAATAACTTGTACAATCACATCTACCAAATCTTTGATCTTCATCCAAATCAAAATCTCGATGCCGTAGACGATGCAAACGTCGACTGAAAGGAGAATCAAAAACCGCAGCCATTTTTAAAAATATCAGCCTATCAATGAATTTAATAAACTATTTTACTTGTACTTTAAATACATATTTAGAGTTGTACAAAAAATTGTTTATGAACTTGTTAAAAAAAATCACTAGTGCAACTATCACAAATATCTTTTTGCTTTTCTCGCCCTTCAGGCACAGACTAAAAAGTAAAATGTTTTGTTTTCATTTACAGAGAATATCATAATACAGATAATAACTAAATATAAAAAATCCTTCTAATGCGGAAGAATTTTGCTTTTTTCTCCCGCCAGATGTCACGTTCATTATGGCTATAATATATTGTGAAGCTCTACAGCGTGAATGGATTTTTTTAAAACACTTTAATGTACCCGAAAATGGTATAATATTAACAAAAAAAATACAACTAAAGAGATGTGCCAAGACGGCCTTATCACTAAAAGTGATTTTTTACAGGCAACCGATAGAAAAGGATACAAGAAAATAAGTGAGAAAGCGGAAAGGAACATATAGCGCAAGTAATTAAAACTGAATATAACTTAACATACATAGAAATTTACACATAAAATACTTATTTTACCATATATATTTTTATTACATATACATAAACATACATATACATAATAATATAAAGAATGTGCGTAAAAAAATTACACAGTACAACACTAACGACAGAATAACCTTAATGTGATAGATATTATTTTTCATTTAATTAAAATTTTTATTAATATGACATATTGTACAGTGCCAGGGTGCAAAGGAAAAGAATATCATTTGTTCACAAAAAACAAAAATTGAAGAAATCGTGTGCTATAGCCTTATCACAACTAAAATATTTACAAAATCACAATATATATATATATATATATATATATATATATATATATATATATATATATATATAAGGCACATCACACATCATTTTAAAAACAGTGATTTTAAAACTCTTAAATCGTCTACAGATTAGTATATTTAAAAAAATTTTGAACTTTTTTACAGAGTTTCATACAAAATTTCATCCCCCATTTGACCCCCTTATGGGATGAATTTGAAAAAAATATTAAACATATATTTATTTAACAGATTAACTATCCGCAAAACGGACACAATAGTTAAAACAATCGAAATGTTAATTGTATTGAAGAGCATTAATAACAAGTTTCAAGTAATCATAAATAATTCTTGGCCCATATAAACTTTATTATCCCTTTTTAGCCCTATAAGGGATAAATTTCGAATCAAATAAATATATTTCTTATTTTTTATCTTACACTAGTGTTACACATTAAGAATGACAGAGTTTTATATAATCTTTAATAACCTATTTTACTCATTTATTTCACGTTTCTACGACTAGCGGTTTAGGCTATGTATTGATCCATCAATCAGTCAGGACCATCGCAGGATGCACTTCTCCTTCTCAATTCTTCCTTCAGCTGGTCTAACTTCCAGGTACAATACTTTGCACAAGTAAGATGCGAACACAATAGAACACAATAAAACAGACCTCTATAAGAGATATTACAATAAATTGCTAAACCTCAGACTAAATGTAAATAGGCTATACATGTGGCGCCCTCCTTTCGAGAAACGTTCCCCATATTTAAGAATAAGGAAACTGTAGTTTGTCTCTATTAAAAATTGACCGGAAAATCTGCGGCCTTTCAGAATCTGTCAGAATCTGTCAACAATAAATATAAGTAACCATAATTAATACATTAATTATTTATCTATGATCAATACAATCGCATAGAACCAAAGAGTTTATTAATGTACAGAATAATAATATTCTGAAAAAAAAAAACAATAACATTCTGATTTTCTGTCGTATGTCTTGAAGTTGAAATATAATGTCAAAAATTGTATGAAATGAAATGTGAATACTGAATTGTGATTTGTGAATTCATGAATTGTCAAAGTGTGTGTTTATGTGACGCAAAATGTTTTATTAAAAGTTAAAACTGTTTTTAATATATTGCTAGAGTAGATAATTTTTTCATTACATTGAATGCGCATTACTATTGTTGAACTATAATAAAGCTTTAGTGTTTATATCTTTGTGCATAATATACTTGGTAAAATGCCCAGAATACTACTACTATTTTGTTTGATGATTGTATTTCAAAAAGGTAAGGTAATAAAGGAATTACGCATATCAAATTTATTCAAATTGAAATGAGTTAATAAACACGCAAGCAAAAAAAGTTTTTTTTTTATGATAAATGTTTGCTTTTTATAAATAACAAAAATTGTACACTTTTATTGTTTGTAACCTGCTGATTTTTAAAATATGTTGTAGTTGTGTCCGGATTAAAGTTATCTCTAACAAGTGATGGTCCAGCTGTGCGTGGTTCCAATGTTTCATTTACGGCTACTGTAAGTGGTTATGGTGGTGAAAATCTCAAATTTGTTTATTGGGACGATGCACAACCCCAACATACAGCTGAGGTACCAATTAATATGTAGTTACTGTAGCTTTCATTCTAATTAAAAATATCTGGTTATAAAACCATATATAAATATAAAAATATGTTACATATAAAGTATTTGTGCTATCATTATAGCCATACAAATTTATCAAAATGGTACTTTTATAACCGCAGGTTAAACCTGTTTTTAGAATAATAAACAACATTATAAATGTAAAATGATACAATATGTTTATTTGCAATTTCAATTACAAACTTTTGTAACATTTGTTATTAACTCGGCAATATCCATTGGTATAGAATTCTTTAAAGCAACTATGTAAAAAAAGGGCTACATTTAATTATTGTAAGAAATTAATGTACAAAAATGTGATTATTTTACAGAAATCTCTAAATCTTATCAAAAATTAGTTATGTTAGAAAAATGCAAGTACGGGTTATAATATAAAAGTAGTTATACTATTTATGATCAAACCAGTTACATAAACAATGTATTTGTTTGTATATTTTCAAGTAATTATATATGTCAAAAAAAAGTTTATATAAATCAATAATAATTTCTTTTTGTTTCTTTGCTCTTACAAGTCTAACATTCTTTGTTATTTACAGTTTATAGAGTCCTCAAATATATCAAAATGGACAGTGGAGTATCCTAGAAACTTATATGAAGCTCGTGATTATACCGTTAAAGTAAATCTTATGAAAAGTTTCTATGGGATATGGTATTTAGTGACCACTTCGAGCACCACTTTTGATTTAACAGGTATATAATTTTTATTCATTCATTTTCATCTGAATTTTCATCTTAAACATTAAGTTCTTCTTACCTTTATAAATAGTCATTAACATGAGACAAATTATAACACAAGTGCATGTGTACATACATTTTTTGTTCTATTACTCTTATGGTATAATAGGATATAGATACTATAAATAAAAGTATCTTTTTGGATTCTTTCTTGGATTTATTTTGATTTTTAGTCTTCTGATGTTTCAAATGCTTCACAGCAATCATGGTCACGGGAGAGACAAGGGTTTTATTAAAAATGTCAATATCTAAGAAAGTAGGATATGGGTAGTAAAAAAACAGTGGAGAGAAGTAAGAATTTTTACAGGAGGACCCATTCATACTTTTGATCCTAATCTTAGTAGTTCAAATATGAGTCAACAAGTCTTTCATGCCTAAACCATTTTTATAAGAACATTTTTATTTTTCCAGATTCATTAAATGGGAACCTAGTACTTAACCAGAATAATCTAGACAGACCAAACAAATTTGTAGCAGTAAACAAAACTGTTCATCATTACATTAAATTACCTGATAATGAGCTGCAGTTTCTTAAAAAGAATGCATCAACCATCATCACATATTGGTTTATCGACTGTGTATATATAGACCAAACAACAGATTTCGCTCTGAACTATACTTATGTAGATGTAATGAATGATCACTATATTGATGCGTTGGTGGTTGCTAATAATGAGCCATTGCCTCCAATTACGACAACAACAACAACAACAACTACTACTACTACAACTACAACAACAACTACAACCACTACAACCACCACACCTAAACCTACAACAACTCAACCATCAACAACCACTATAATCAACCAGAATGGAACCACAATGAACGGAACTCATAATATATCAAAGAGATCCTTAATTAATAGAACTACAAAAAAAAAGAATACCATTAAAGATTTTATATGTCATAATTCAAGTATCGTGCCTATTGGAGATACTTACACCTATGGACACTATCAAGAAACCATTAGTGTTAGAGGTAACTATGAATGTTTTAATTACATTTCTATAATTTTTTGTAGTTTTATTGTGTCGTTTATGGTAAAAAATAAGGTATAATCCTAATCATTTCTGTACGGACTAAGAATTTTGTTTTTATTTAGTGTTATATTTTGTTAAAAGTTTGACATTTATTTAATTAATTTTATTCGGTCGAATTATTATTATTATATAGTATTTCAGACTATAATCTATCTCTGTGCCAAATTTCACCCAGATCCGTTCAGCCGTTCTGGAGTGATTGAGTAACAAACATCCATCCATCCTCACAAATTTTAACATTTTTAATATTAGTATGGACTAACAAATCCACTGACATGTACAATAACAAGTACTGTTATCTGATATAAATGTTTTTTTCTTTCAGAACCCATATCAACGGTGAACATAACGGGCATGAACTGGCTACAACATGGAGACTTATTGAATTTGAAGGTCAATTACAGTGGTTCTCCACCTTTCAACTATTGTGCATTATATAAGCTTGGACAGTACAATGTGACTGGAAATGAAACATGTTCACCAAACACAAGAACTCAGACAACCTCTAACGTGTTCCCTCTAGTACATTACTTCTCAGACAGCGACCAGCATACGGTTGTTGTTGTTATTGAGAACGATGTGGGCAAAGCTGTGTCTAGAGCAACTATAAATATATATAAAGGTTTGTTTTTCTTTGTGATGTTAGTAGCTTTTAAATGCCTTGTTGGTCTAGTGTTTGCCATGTTTATAGACCGTTAATTAGGTTCTGAGTTCCAATTCTACATTGGGAAAAATTAGTGGATTTTTCTGTTACGAAATAATATAATGGGCAGTCCGTTACTAGGAGTACTAGGAGTACGCTTATAGTACCATATTTCTCACCTCGAGTTGTAGTTCCACTATAATATGCATATATTTTAAGGAAGAAGTAATAGAGAACAAAGTGTAACATATTGCACTTTAGTATATTTTTTTTAGGGATGTTAATAAATAAAATAAATAAATATGTTGGGACATTAACACAGCACCATCTAGTTCCATGGTAAGCTACAAAGCCTGTGTTATGGATACCAGATAATTGATACACTACACATATATAACTTTAAATATATACATATTATAAATGTAAACATTCATGACTGGAGTACAAACATTCGTGCTCATCACACAAATGAATGTCCCCAGCGGGACTCGAACCCGCGACCGATGGCACAGCAAATAGGGTCACTACAAACTCAGCCAAACATGTCGTCGTGTCTTAATAAAGTCCTCAAATTTGGTAATATTGTGCTGATTACTAGTTTCGCTCATAGCTCAGCCTGTTATTATATTAATAATTTGAATAATGTTTCAGCATCTGTTCACGCGCAGCTATCAGTGATTGTAGTGCCGGTGACATTTTGCCTTTTAGCTGTCATTTTGGTTGTATTTGGCATCGCTTACTACCAACATCGATCCAGGTAAAGTATACCAATATTTACTTATAAAATTACTAGTGATGCTCCCTTGCTTTGCTCAGACCTTTATTATTATTAGCCCCATGCATCTTCCAGTAACACTTGGAAATGAATGGTATATAAAAAAAACCATTAAATTTAACGGGACGGGGAAAAGTAGCCTAAAATATCAGTCATATATAATATTGTTTCCTACACACCCGTTGCACACTCGCCGAGATACCCCGTGACATAATACGAGAGTGTATTACTTACACTCGCCTCACCTCAATGTACTGTTTCGCTTCGCCTCGCTGTGTTTCGCCTCGTTTCTCGTTTCGCTTCGCCTTCTTTCATTACCGTGTCAGTTTTTGCGCCCTGTCTTCGCAGTTATAGTTAAATAAATGAAAATTTACAAGGTGGCACTTGTATGTATGCTTTATTAGGATGTGAGTGTGCCACCTTAAGTGAATTATTATTATATTATAAATGTATCCTAAATTTAGTCTTCTGTAATGTTTTTTTTGTAAAATATTTTTTTTGCTGTTTATTGTAGAAAATATGCTTGTTTCTGAAATAAAAAATTAAATTAAAAAAAATAAAGTTAGCCGTTACGGGACACACGGCAGATGTGAAACATCTATGTTAATATGTATTAAAATTCATAATTAATAAAACCCTATAACGAAATATGGAGTAAAGTAAAGAAAAATGGAGTTTTGGTTAATAAAATCAATTTATTTTAATTATTATTTTAATAATAATAATAATAATGACAGAATACCCATATATATATATATATATATATATATATATATATATATATATTCATAAATAGAATAGAAAATATGAAAAGTATTTTCTAGACTGTATACAATGGAGCTTGTATAGTATAAGCGCGCGCACAAACAAGGGAGATGAGAGCGGTGGCGTAGTGGGCATGAGGGCATGACAGCGTCATGCCGTTTGCCGTCACGGCATACGAGTCGGTTTTACTGCCTTGGCACGCCAATAGATGTTTAACATCAAAAACAAATGGAAACATGTGAATAAGATTATCGGCGGTTCCCAATAATCTATCTTTCTGAAGTTTTCCCTAATGGAGATAAGTAAGAATACTCGTAGAATATAAGTTCCATACAAATTATGTCAAATTCTTATCACTATTGAGGAGGACTAATAAATCGATGGAGACAAAAATCATTAAGACTTTGTGTTCCCTCGTTTTGCCACTAGAGGGCGCGGTTTGTTTTACTTTTAAACTATAATGTATAATATCATAATGTCAACGACCTATTTGAGTGGCAATAGTGGCATTTATTTTTGCTCATAATATCACTGACTGATGTATTGTATAATCTTAAACTGAATCGGTGGTCTTGAAGCTAGCATGTACGGCCACAGATCCGAAGGTACTGGGTTCAAGTCACAGGTCGGGCCAAGTTTAGTTATCGAGTTTTTCTGTTAAGAAATTCTCAGTAGTAGCCCGGATTTGGGAAGTTGGCGGTGTTACACCCCGCGCCTCAAAGAGCGCGTCTTGCTCGTGATCTCTCACCTGTCGTGTCGAATTATTATCATCCCATAGGAATTTGAGAGTGACACGAATAGAGAGTGCACTGAAAGTGAGTGTCTGCGCGTACACTTGTGCACTATAATATCTCCTGCGCAGTTGGCTAGTCTCAATGAGATTTGCCGCCGTGGCCGAGATTGGTCAGAAGAACATAATCATCATTTGATGTACTATATACAGCGTTTTTAACGACCGATTGTTGAGCACGGGAGTCCTTTCAATACTGACTGAAGACATGTGCTAATCTTACGGGCGAAAATTTTGCTTAAAATGTATATAGCAATAATATTTTTTCTGGTATCAAATAGAAAAAAAAACCTATATATATATATATATATATATATATATATATATATATATATATATATATATATATATATATAGTCCGTTTTTCCTTAGGTGTCCTAAATGGTAAACAAATACTATCTTGAACGAAAATCACTTGTTTTCGGACAATCACACATTTTGGATTTGGTTTTATCGTTTATAACTATTTCAGAAACACACACGCTATGAATTACACTAATAAAAACTATGAATTATTGAGTTAAACACATAAATTTTGCTAAAATTGAAATGTTAACAAAACCATTGTCAACAGGTAAAATATGTACACAACATTTTGACGTTTCGACACTCTACTTTGTCTTTGAATCATAGAGATGTAACATTAATTAGAATGAATTGAATGGAAACTGAACTTAAAAATAAAATTATCTTTAAATTACAAAGTACGATATTTTGTTAAAATTTTATTATGTTTTAAAATTAGTAGTGTCTTTGTAGAATATAGAAATTTTTTAATTGCTTTTAATTAACTTAAAATTATTAATAATTTTAACAAAATTAAAAATTTAATTGTGAAGCTAAATTAATGTCAAAAACTAAGTATTAATATTAGAAAAAGGGAAAAGGGAATGTAAAATGTTAACTTATTTCAGTAATAAAGCTATTTTATTTATTTATTTAATCAACTTATACTTATTATTTATTTGTTATTATAATTATTATTATTTCGTATCTTATTGCACTGTTTATTAAAATGGAGTAAGGGACTTCGCTCCTGACGGAGATCTCTCGACCGCTTATTTTGCTTTTTTAGTTTTAAGTTTTAAAAATGAGTTTATATTATGGAGAAAAAGAAAATTTATATTATGGCGAAAAATTAATTATGGCGAGCGTTTATATTATGGCGAAAAATTAAAAAAGAAACTTTACATCATTGATAAAAGACTTATATAGTTCTGTTTTTTAATTTCAGAGACTAAATTGACATCACGTGGGTTGTCCGTTTTTTGCAATTTAATAATCATGTGCCACTATCGTAATTTAATGTTAATAAAATCAAGTATATTTTGTTATGATAAGTTATCCTGAAATAATGTGTATGTACTTATTTAAAACGTAATATAACAAAATTACTATTTGACATTTGCATGTGTCAATTTAGTCTCTGAGATTAAAAAACAGACATAGACAAGCGACATTTTGAGTTGTTTATCCCGGCCACCACCTATCGCTGAAAGAATCATTCGTTTCGTTGCCACGTTTCATGTCGTACGTTACGGGTGTTCATTTGTGTTTGATTTTTAACGACCTGGCTTTCTACTGGATTTGTGTTTGTTTTACGATTTGGACGGTGTTATTCTTTGGACTGACGACTTTTAGCAACCCTTTACTGATTCCGATATTGTATACGATTGTGATTTTAGTGCATGTAACACACTTAGAGGTAAGTTTAATATTTTAATGTTATTTATTACAAAAAAATGGCATAAAACGGTAACAATCGTTTTTATTTTACAGATTTATGAAAGCAGGTTTAAAATTTTATTAAATCTTCATTTTATAAATGAAGAGTTATTTTTCAATGAGGGCTAAATATCAATATAATGTGTACAACTGTTATAAAATTAATGTGGAACATATCATTGTATTATTAATTTTCGACAGGTACTTATTAAAATGAGTGAACCCGAATCGAACGCTGGGCCTTCGCATTCCAGAATGCGAAAAAGTATCCCAGATCCACCATCTTTTCTCACGTCACCCATGAAAGTCATAAGAATCGAGTGATTTATCGTGAATATCTGAATAATAAAATTATTAAAATAACTTGTTGTATTATTTCTACCCAATACTTTAAGTTCACTGCATAAAAACCATTAAGTTCAATCGTTCTTATTCATTCATTCATCATCGGCATCACTATGTATTATTCTCGTATAGTATTTTTTTTCTGTGGAATTATCTCTGGTTACCTGTACGCCATATTTGTTTACTACTTAAGACACCTAAGAAAAAATAGACTTTTATATATATATATATATATATATATATATATATATATATATATATATATACATATATTTATAGTTAGAATTTAACGTAATATATGTTACAAGTTTTAAAAAACAATATAATTTTTGTTTGTGATAAAGAAGCTAAAAAGATGTTATTGACCTTTTATCATGTTTTAAGTTAAGAGTGTTATATTTTAAATAACATTAAACAAATTTGTATAAATATCATTACAATATTTTTATAGCAATTATAATGTGGAAAATTCTTTTACAAAATATATTATTTTGATACTTATATGAGTTTTATGATATTTGTGTACAATATAGTGATTTTTTATGAGATGTTTTATCTAATATTATCTATATTTTATTAAATCCCAATTCAGTTGTTTGAGTAAATTTAAAGACATAATTTGAACTCTTAGTAATTTTCAAAGAAGAAACAATAGTAATATATATTTTTTTCTTTGTAGATATACAGTAGAAGTAGCAGATTTCGATTTTGGACAGCAAGTGAAACTCGACTATAAGACATTCACTGAACGTTTAAGAGACAGCTTCCGAAACGCCTTCAATTTCAGGCAACGCGATGACACGGAACCGTTAACATCTGATACGAGATACGATTCTATGTCATAGATATAAGAGTGAGTATTGCATGGGTTTTCGCTGCTTTATAGTAGCCTACGTTTTCTTCAAGTTTATCATCTATCTTTAACGACACGTTTGGCTCAGTTTGTAGTGACCCTACTTGCTGTGCCAGTGTTCAGGTTCGAGTCCCGCTGGAGGCATTAATTTGTGTGATTAACACGAATGTTTGTACTCCAGTCACGGGTGTTTATATTTATATCAAATCAAATTTCCGATATCCATAACAAAAGCCTCGTAGCTTACCATGGAATTAGATGGTGCTGTGTGTTAATGTCTCAACATATTTATTTATATCTGTGTACATCCAAATCCGTCCAGCATTTTCAACCTGAAGGAGTAACATACATACGCACATACTTTCACATATATAATAGTAGTTCGAAAGTAATTAAATATAGTATTTCTTTCTATTTTCAGATTTGCTCATAATTCGCAAAGTATTTAGAGGTTATTCGGCCGAGTATATTTAACCTTATATTTTTACTAGTGATGTATTTATTTATTTTTTATCTACAGTACACATAACAGTCATTCCATTAATAAATACGTAGTTATGATATTTAAAACATATTATTATAATCGGTTTTTAGTCGAAATCCAGTAATATGTATTATATTATAGTTCCTAACCCTAGCACAACAATTAGAGCTTCATTTAGCTTAGAAACTGTTTATGGTCAAAACATTATGTGATTAATTAACATAATATTTCAGTACAATTGGATTTCAACTAACATTTACTAATTATTTTTTGATTTTTAATATAGTTTATTTTCTGTGACTCACTGATTTTTAGTCTATGGTTCGGCCGTTCTATTTTTGAACCTTATATTGACAGTACAAAAAGTTTATTTTTTTATTTTATGTTATTTATTACATTTAAACGCGTTATTGGTTAATAAAATTTAAACAAATCGCAATTTTTAGTGGTGCTTTTTACCCTGTCTTAATATTGCTAAATTCCTAAATAAAATCATAAAATGTGTATAATCTTTCATCTAAAATGTAAAATTATTACGGTCGCATCCAAGACTACTTGTAAATTAGAACGCCATAAATAGTTTAGGCCGATGTAACTAATTATAATATAATTAATAATATATCACTTAATGATGATTTAATATCTGTCCTTGTAAATTGAAGCATGTAAAGTTATTATAGGAAGATGGTTTTTGTAGGTATTATATGAATAAGCTTTATTATAGACTGATGAATGCTGGCGAGATGTACGCATTTCTTAATTTAAATATTATTTTGTATATCCATAATGTTGACTATGAAATTTAATAATAAATATAAGGCTGGCTGCAGACGTTCAATATTTGACAAACTGTGCTATCTTATTGGGCAGATTATTGGATATATCTGTACGGGCCATACATTCAACAATATAATTAATATTCTATGTATGCTGCTACCCTAAACATCGTATTTTCTCATATTTCGCCATATATTATAAAATAATCACATCCAATCGCACTGAACATTATCTATTTGTTAAAGTATTAATTATATTGCCAAATGCATAGAAAATTGATTTCGATGAAATTCTAATCAATACATGGAACAACTACAATAATAGCACTTATTTCTTTATAAATAAAGATGAAAATAAGGTAAATGATGCCATGTAAGTGTTGTTCGATGTATTGAATTACCTATATAGTGATCAGTCATGTTTTGTGATATAATAGGTTAAATTGAATAGATGTTATTTACATATTAGTTATAGTATATTATAAAGTATTTATCTGTATTCTAGAAGCAAAGAGCAGTGATATTAGACGTTACTTTTAATAATTAAATTAAACATACAAAATTACTTTTCGTAATTACTGAGGAACGATTTTATCTGTTATTTAGTTATTTTCCTTTCTTATCAACCGTTTTCCATGTTATAATGAAAATAAAATAATTTGCAGTTATTAAATTTGTATAATTAACACAAAATGTATTGACAATTCTAAATATTTTGTTTCTATTGTGCATGGAAATATGGATGCGCGATTAGAAATTTGTTTATAATTTTTTTTTGTATGTATGAGATATGAATATAATATTATTTATTTATTTACTTCTTTTTACACATTGTATCAATTCAATGATCACTTGTGTTGTGTATTAAAAACCTAAAATTACAACTGTACTAAAAATGATTATAAGATTTGCGGGTAGATTTTCTAATTCTAGTCTTAGCTCTATATTGTATATATTATGTGAATTCTGTATATAAAAATGTATATGTTATTCATGCGTCATTTATAAAGATCTGCTATACACCTTTGCCCTTACTATCGGTCATCATACAATCGCGTTCTATGCTTCTAAAGAACAGAATAATATATATTATAATTATTTTGTAGTTATAATAAAGTGTTAATTGAAAATTATGTTTTATTAAATAAAATACCCCTTTTACAAGTTCGAATATGTTAAGTCATTTTTCGTAGATTTTTGGGTTTTATATAAATTTTTGGTTTTATATTAATTGATATTATTTATTGCACAAACAAGGAATAAAAATACACAGAAAATGACGTAGACAAAAGTCACTTACCTCTAAGAAATCTCGTCCAGTCAACCCATGTGTGAAAGTATATAAAAGAAAGAAACTATATAAAAGCTTAAATAAAACAAGAGTAAATACAATATATAAACTTATTATATATAAGAAGGATATAAATTGGAATGCCGCACTTTTTAAAAATCAGTCTCCTGGAGTTTCTGTACATCTATTAAGTTTTACTACTCAGTACTTTTTAGTTTCTAATAGAGTTAATTTTGTGGCAGCAATATAAAACGTGTGTTACAAATATACTTAATATTCAAACTAAAATATAGGTGCTCAACACTTCAAAATTATTTAAATGTTACAGGGGAAGAGGGGGGAAAAATATTTTAGATTTTAGCCTAAAGATCTCTGTATCCATTGACTTAAATGAAATCGTTTAGAAATTTATTTCATTTATAAAGACTTATAGAGAGATGAGATTTTTAAAGTGCCGTGGACTTCAGCATCGTAGCTACTTAGGCTAGCTTTTTTTAAAAGTACCTAATTGTTATTATACCGAGCAGATATGTCAGTTAACATGTATTTTATAGTTATTTCGGTGATAGACTGATAGTCTCATTTAATACAAACATACATTTTGTTATAAACGGTCGGGTCGGTAGATGAAAATATACTTTGAGTCCCGTGTTCTACTGGCTTTTATATCAACGGCTAAATTGGTTAGGTGTTCAATAGAAACACAAGAGGCAAGACGAGAAATCACAAGCGGTAGTTAATTTAGGTATAATATTTACTAAACAAAAAAAAACTTAAACAAGAGATAAAATTCCTTTCATTTCAGGGAATAAAATTTAAGTTACTTTTTAATTCCGGTGTAAGGAAGCAAAGAGGTACAAGTAGGCAAGAACAGCGTTGTAGGTCACGCTCAAAACCCTCTCGTGCGTAGTGCTCTCGCTGGCACCGTGAATACTGTCACTGAATTACATTCAAAATGCATTCTAATTATATTTTTTATCTGTATTTCTTTTTTATGAATGAATCCTATTCAAAAGCATTTCTGTACACTTTATAAAATTAAAAAAAAATACATTTTCGACCAACTGTAATATCCCATGCAGTCCCATTTATCCTCAGCAAAATAGGCGGTAAGGGTCTAAACTCGAAGGTTTTACGAAGTAATTGAAGATATTCACTATCCATATCCTCGTTCCATCAATAGATTTGGAGGGTATTAAATTATTGTAATATCATTGAGATTTCACAAGTTTAGCAACTTGCCTGGGTATTTACATAGTATTATAGTTGATTAAAGTTAAAATCGACTTCTATAGGATAGGGGAAAGTTCCTTATTTATTCGTTATTCTCAGTCTTAATTATCAGTTTGTTCGTTACACAAAATAGGATAAATGTCTTTTTGATTTCTCGCAGGAATCGACATCACCACTAACACGCACAATGCACAATCTATATTGAACTATACCGCGTTCAGCGGAATCGTTTATTTCTTTATTGCTTTTTTAAATAGAAATGGCACCTGTAAATACTTACAATTAGATGTAAAACCTGAATACGATGACCACAATATTTTTTATAATTAATTTTCCAATCTTTATTTGTTTGTCGTTCAAATTTTACTAACAAAAAGTGCAACTAATATTGTTTTGAGGTCTATATTCTATACACAACACGTAACAGCAATAGGAAATATGCTTGATTTTTTTAAATTTTTTATACAATAGCTTACATTGTTATAAAATTGTAAAAAAAATATCCAGCTCTAAAAAACTAAAATTTTGTATGTAAAAAAAATATCATACCGATACGGATACTTTAAATGGGCCCGCGCTTGGCGTGACGTACACAAGTATTTCATACACATAAAAATGACGACGCAATTTGTAGCGAAAAAATCGCTAATCGCTGTTATGATATTTTTTTAACGTTGGGAAATGCATTTACGCACGAGGTGTGGGACTCACCGGCGAAGCCAGTACTACCCACTAAAACCCAACAATTTTCTTAGTCAAAAAAAAGTTAAATTAAAAAATATTATTATATTACCTATTTATAGGCATAATTAAAAAGCAATAAAGATTACAAAAAAATATTTCACCTTTATTAAAATCACACGCATATTTACTATTGTATTTCGTATTATCGTGAGTTCGAGTCCCGATAGGGGCATTCATTTGTGTGATAAACACGAATGTTGGTACTCTAGTCATGGGTATTTATATTTATAATATATATGTATTTATAATTATATATGTGTAATGTATCAACTATCTGGTAGGTATACATAACACAGCCTCGTAGCTTATCACATAACTAGATGACGCTGTGAGTTAATGTCCCAACATATTTATATTTATTTTTTAACCGACTTCCAAAAAGGAGGAGGTTCTCAATTCGTCGGAATCTTTTTTTTTATGTATGTTCACCGATTACTCGATGACGCCTTTGGAATGACAGACGGACGGATGGACGGACGCCGTTGAAAAAATTTTTTTATGTCAAAGGGTTTGTTAATAAATCAACAATAAATATTTTTTAAATAAATTGTTTAATCGAATATGTTATTTTCTTCTTACAAATTACCTGTTTATTACGTCTACACTAAAAATAGAAAAATAAAAACTTAAAAAAAAACCGACTTCCAGGCACTAAAATATAAAAAATAACTAAACGGAGGTTTTCATTTAGAATAGATACCTAATCAGATATTTTCGAAGTTGGTGCCAACCTACAATATTTCAAGATATGAATATCTAATAGGTAAATATGTATTTTACGTATCGAAGTGCATTAAAATATCTAAAATGATAAAATTTAATTGTTAAGTCAATATGTTGATGGTTTATACTACGAGAAAACAAGTTGATGGATGCCGGGGTCTACGCCTCCTTCATGGACGTTAAAATCACTCGAGATCCTGATAATTTAGTATATCATTGTTTAGAACGGCAGATGGGAATTTTCTATAAATTTTTCCGCAGTGTTAGTATGATTAACATGATTTTTTTAAAGGATTAAATTTATTTACATCTAGAATAATATAAATTACTAGCATTGCTCGCGGCTCCACCCGCGTTCAGATGACTAAAAACCAAATTCGGAAATTTTACATATTAGTATACTCTTACATTGCAGTTTTTGTATTTTTTCTCAAAAATGAGATATTTTATCGCGGTAAAAAGTATCCTATATTTTGACCCGGATAGCCCGCTATCACCATACAAAATTTCATCAAAATCCCTCCAGTGGTTTTTCTGTGATGCGGTAACAGACAGACAGACAGGCAAAAATTCTAAAACCTATAGATTCGACCTCTGCATCGATAATAATGTTTATTTCAATAAGATTTTTCAAAAAATATCTAATGTACAGATTCGGCTTAGTTACAATTTTATTATATGTATAGATATAAATTATTATTTATATTACTTTATAGCGAACAACCCTCACCTCGTCTGGGTGTGTCCTGAGGCGCCGTAGTGATAATATTATATACTAGCGACTCACCCTCGCTCCGCTCGAGTTCGTCCCTTGTTACGTTTAAACGTTTAGTATAAATTTCTCAGACATGAGATATTTTCCCGCAATAAATATCCTATTTGTTGATCCGGATAACCAGCTATCATCAAACCAAATTTCATCAAAATCTGTCCAGTGTCTATGCGGTCACAGACAGGCAGACAGACAAAAATCTAAAAACTAGAGATTAGGCCTCTGTATCGACAATAATGAATATTTCAATAAGATTTTCCCAAAAATATATTTTAATGTACAGATTCGACTAAGTTAGAATTTAATGATATGTACCTATAGATGTATGTATGTATACCTATAGGTACTGCCACCTATTAGAAATTTTAATAATAACAGTACCTAGCCTATGTCTAACTCCAGGTCATAGTCTCTTTCAGTACTTAATTTCATTCAAATCCGTCTAGTTGTAACGTGAACGTGTAACAAACATATTTATTCAAACATTCTCATTATCATAGTAGTGTGATAAGAATATCAAAATAACGGTACTATGATTGTAAAAATTAACTATTTTTACCATCTTAGTAGGTTATTATTTATTAATAAAAAAAATATCTTAGAAAATTGTAATAGCTTATGTGGATAATATTGAGCAAAAACACAAAGAAGAAATTATATGTAACGACTTTTATGAAAGTCCTCTTGGCTTTTGCTTTGTAGAGGTTAATAAAGACCACATTTTTATTCCCCTCACACTCGTAACTTCGCTGAAGCAATAAGTTTCCCCAATTTAAACGTGAGCACAGAAAAGCCGACTTGGACATTAAAGGTATTCGGTTTTGCATTTCATTAAAATTTAAACTCACCAAGGCGTGTAGGCGCTATATGTGTTCCGTACCCCTACCACGATATATTCTACACATTCAGTTTTTAAATAAATCGAGCTTTTCACACTTCGTTCTAAGAAAAAGTTATCTATTCTAGTAGCGTATTTACTTTAATCGCGATAGTAAAGCAATGATGGTAAATAAATGGGTTAAATCTCTTTAATCGTGTAGGCTGTAGCGATTGTGAATATAATAGCTTACTCTCAACTCTGCCTTTAATAAAGCTTTCCACGGGTAATACGTTTCAGTTTAATTTTACGCACAAGTAATAAATAAAGATATCCAACTCGTTGACTAACTTCTGGTAATAATAATCGTTGGCTGTTTAATAGATAGGTACTTAGAGTTTGAATATTCGTCTTTGTAAAATAAATTACGTGAAACTTATAAGCATCTTTGAAATTTTATATTTGGTTATAATTACCTGCTATGATAAAAATACTAATTTTTGTTTCCATAAATTTTTATATCCATATTGATTTCTCATAAGTACCTGTGGTATAACTTTAAATTTAATTTTTTATTTTAACTTTAAATGTTTATTTAATAGGTTTAGGTTTTAGGTTAAGGTTTTCTGAACAAATAATAATTTTTATTCCTTCTAATATTTATTAGATGATATTGACTCTTAGGTTTATGTAACAAAGAACAAAGAGAAAAAGTTTGAACCTACATCAAAAAATAGGAATGAACGATTTTATCAAAGTATAACGTTTAAAATTGCTATGTCAAACCCAGCGTTGCCATTTCACTTTTTCTACGTTACATGTGATATTTTTTCATAAATTTGGTTATAAAATATTAAAGAATTTATTTGTAAATTATGCTATTTAAGCTGTAATAATATGTCAAATTATAAATTTCTAACTTTCATTAACAGTAAATCAAGAGATATGATAAAGTTAAACTGCATTTAAACCAAAAGAGTTAATTTTATATAATAGCGTATAACATATTTTTCTACTATCAATAGGAAGGTACTTAAATAGTCTAAATGAAATAATTTATCTGATATCTTTAAAGTAGAGATGTATCAAATAAATTGTAAATACTTATAAATTTTATTATATAACAACTTTAACACATAGATACAATTATTAAAAAAATTACAACTCATATGCTATTATAATGATATTCTTATGTACATACTACGTAAACAATGGCTCGCCTGCAATTATAGAGCTCTCGATGCCACATTCGTCCTCTCCACGAGCGATTTTGAAGAAGCCATTATCACCCCAGTCGGAGTTCCAGGAGTTTGCGACAAGCCAATATTTGTTTCCGTTTTCAACGCCCCATCCCATAATTTTAATAGCATGACCGCCGAGTGCATCACCTACCACATGCTTGTAAACGCCGCTTTTGTACGCGAGTAAATCTGCGTATACAGTAAAGGCTCCTTCTACAGGTCCATTTTTGAAAAGTTCTGCTCTAATGTGGTCTTCGCCTCCTCGGACAGAGAATACATGTTTGCCGTATTGCTTGTCTGCCTTATAGGCTTTGCTATAGCCATCTCGGCAAGTTCTGTAGCATTTGGGCGTCTTTGTGTCACCGCTGCATGGCATTCTGTTACCAGGTACATGATGCTCACAAGGTGCGATTTCATAAGGTCTGCAACCCTGAGAGGAGTTATAGTTGCCACCAGAAACCAATCCAAAGTGCTTCCAATACTCCCACGCTAATGTAGGAATTCCACCGTTGCACCCGAGACCGCAAATAGGACAGCAACTAAGTAAATCTTCTGCGGAAAAGTGAAAATGCTTTGTTCCGTTCGAGTAAACGCAGTATCGGTCGGTCATTGCCTCAACAGCACCGAATGCCCAGCAACTCCCACAAGAACCTTGATCTCTAATTTCATTTAGTGTGGGACAATTAGGCCATTTTTCTCTAGGATCAAAATTTTCTGGTAAATCCTTTATCAAGTCGTCATCGTGTACAACGTTCGGCAAATTTTTCACGTAATCATCCTTAAGTGCTCCTAGGAAATTTTTAATTACCTTCAATGGCGTTGAAGCCGGGAAGTTTCGCCCAGCTTTCCAAGAATTTTGTTTAGTGTTGATGAGATTTATGAACTCCTCGGAGAGTGGGTGGACGTCTGACTGTGAAACAGTTAACGCAAATAGTAGCACAAAACACGTACCACGAAGGAGAATCATTTTGCACTTGTTATTTTCCTTGCTAAATCGATATCGAGCGCACACTTAGAGCGGGAGGTGCGCGTCGACTGAATGCTCACTGCTCATACGTCGTGTAAGTGACCCGAACGAACGATACGAGGAATGAGACAGCGCTTGACCACGCGTGTCGAAGGTTAATCATGATATCTAGAACAAAGGAAAGGAAACAGACAACGATGAATATTGACTAATGTTGACGTTTAGCAAATGTTTATATTTTACATAAATTAATATCTATTTGTTAATAATAGTGTTGTTTTTGATCTGACGAGATTAATTAGCTTTATTTCTTCGTTATTTCAAGTTGTAATCTACAATAAATATTACTGTATATTTTTAGTTGTTAGTCATCATTTATTCCAATACTAGTTACTGTCTTCAGAATCTGTTGTTTATACTTATAGATATTTTAGTTTCGTTTATAAACAAGCAACGACCATACAACCCTGGTTGCAATAAAGAAAGGTAACCCGATTTATTGTTACCTAGTATGGAACTGAGTTAACTAAGTTAATTAATTTGGAACAAGTCAAAATATTTAAGACATAAAATGAGTTGATTAAAAGAGTACTTACATTAAAATTGTTTACAATTTTACAACAATTTTTTCTTTGCTATAACTGATGCATCTTTTTATCAATGTTCGATTCTCGCAATTTCGATGTATTTGACCATTTTCGTAAGCACCTACAGTTTAAGTATGTGTGATATAATAATTAAAATAACTTTCAAAGGCACCACAAGGTTTATTGATTCGTTAGTCACAAATATTTACAATTATAATATTAGTGCGATAATGTCATAAATGCATTATACCTACGGATTTGTCTACTTTATGTGTTTTTTATGGTACGAAATATTACATGAAAATGTGGGATTTATGTAAAACCAGCGGAATTTTATGCTTTAAAATTTTATCGAGTCAAATGAAAATCCAGGATTTTTTTGCGCCTGCATTAATTACTTCGATAATGAGAGTACCTGTCGCTATCGTACAATATAACTTGTTAAAAAAGTTCATGTTCAAATTAATTTGAGATCTCCATAATTATGACGAGTTTAGGTTTCGCAAATAAAAATAAATCAGGTACGAAATAAAACTCACATTTATATGACACTAGCGACTCACCCTCGCGCCGCTCGGGTTCGTCCCTACTTACGTTTTAACGTTTAGTATAGATTTCTCAGAAATAAGATATTTTCCCGCAATAAAAAGTATCCTATATGTTGACCCGGATAACCAACTATCATCATACCAAATTTCATCAAAATCCGTCCAGTGGTTTTTCCGTGATGCGGTAACAGACAGACAAATATTCTAAAAACTAACGATTCGGCCTCTGTATCGATAATAATGTCTATTTCAATTAGATTTTCCAAAAAATATTTCATGTACAGATCCGGCTCAGTTAGAATGTTATTATATGAATAGATGATTTATGACGACACGTTTGGCTTAGTTCGTAGTGACCCTACTTGCTGTGCCAGAGGTCGCGGGTTCGAGTCTCGCTAGGGGCATTCATTTGTGTTATAATTTTTTGTTATAATATTTTTTATAATATATATTATTTATAATATAATATAATTTTGTTATAATATTTTTATTTACAATATATCGGTAGACCGTAGATACATAGGATTATAGGTACGTATAAACATTCAATGCCTATTTGGGTTTTAGTACTTATAGCAGTACAGAATCTTAATAAATATAAATAAAAATAATTCTTAGAACTGGTTTTCAGAATATTATTTTAAACATCATATTAACATATTTTTTAAACAAATTTAACGTATAACTTTGCGTACCACTTGCATACATACAAATCCGACTAACCGGTCAAAAAGCCAAATACTACCCACTAAAACCTAACGAAATTCTTAATAATGAGGATTTCTTAGACATTCAACCACGATACGATACAGATGGACTGCTGAGGAATTCATGACAGAAAAACCCAATAATTCTTTTATCAATTCATCCCAATAAATCAGGACTCGAACTGAAGACCTTAGCCATAAAAGCCAGCAGCTGCAGCAAGTCTCGTAGTAAGTATATTTCGTACTAAGGTATCCACTTTAATCGAGATCTTACTTAATCTTCATTGAAGATATTAGGAATAACGAGGGTATTTAGTAAAATGTTTTGCCATTATGTTCTTTCATCAGAGTTGAGAGTTGTAACATTTTGCTTAATGCTAACTTGTACACGTACATACATACATATGTTCACACATGTTTCATACCTGTTAACATACATTATTATGAACAACGTACACAAAGACACGAAGAAAAAACCTAATATATTGACGTTATTTAATTTACTTAAATACCTTTTATTAGTAACTAGCGATTTATCCTCACTTTGTTTTAACGGCGGATAATAAACTATATTTTCCTTCTGTGAGTATTTATTTTGCATATTTTTAAGTAGTTTTCAAGAAAAATCCAAAAATCTCCAAAAAGGTACATTTTTTGATAAGTAAAACTATGGAGCAAATGTCATTCAATTGTGATTCTGTCTTAATAACGGATGGATTTAATATCTGAATTACTTAGAATATCTAGACTTAATATATGACAGGGATGACCATTTTAAACGATCAGTATCAGAAAATCTTAACATGTTCTCCGAGGCACAGGCGTGTAAAGTCGACTAATTTTTCAACTAAGAATTTCTTGACAGAAAAATCCAGTAACTCTAATTGGTACGACCTGGGACTCGAACTCCGACTTATGTATATGTAACTTATAGTCGTATATACTAGCCACTAGGCTATATTATTTCCACAATTAATAAGAAACTTTATATGTTATAGTGTCAAAGAATAAAACCAAAAGACACACATAATATAATACCTACACTCGAAAAACGTCACTTCTTTTTGGAAGTCGGATAAAAACAGGATCGATAACATTAAATATCTTGCTAAGTGTTTTTGAAATAGGCTCGTTACATACATTTAAGAGATAGTAAGTACACAAAATTATTTCAACATAATATATCTTAAGGTAGTAATGGCAAATTCTTTAGGCATTAATTTTTAGTGACACGAAACAGGCGGTTCTGACCGATAGCAGTACTGTAATGAATTCCCGAAAGTCTTGACAGTCTGCTTTTAATGGCTTTCAAGTACCTAGTTTCGTTTTTAGTTGTATCATGTGCTTGTTTTATTGTTAATACATATTTAATGGAAATGGATGCCTAAATGGTAAGATTTACTACAAACTACACATATGAGTATTTACTATTAGTGATTCTAATTAATTATTATCAAAAAAACATTAGTATGTCGAAATATCGAAATTATTCATTAAGACTAGCGATACACCCTCGCTTCACTCGGGTTTGTCCCTAGGTATGTTTTGACAGTTAGAATGCAATAGATACCCTATAGCCTTCCTTAATAAGTGGACTATCTAATGGGAATTAATTTTTCAAATCGGATTAGTAGTTCCTGAGATTAGCACGTTGAAACAAACAAACAGACACTGTCTCTTTATAATATTAGTATGGATTAGGGAAAATAAATTATGAGTAAGTTAGAAATTATGAAAATTGTTATGTAGTGTGAACTGTGTGATAAACTCGGGGCACTTTTTTATCCTGCAAAGACCCTTTCATTTGACGAGATTTAACATTCTGAACATGGAACGCGTGCTTATAATCACGTCCAGTTTTATAATAATAAATTATTGAGATCTCTTTCTCCTGAACCTCTTATATTTTTCTAAGATAAAAAGCTCGCAGCAAAACTGTCGGAAGTCGGAAGAGTGACCAGTTATTTTTTTTAGTCGTAGGCTTTGATGATATAAACAAAGAATAGTTGTTTTGAAAAACTTTTTAGTTAGTTTTTTAGAATATAAGTATGTAAATCTTAAAATAAATAATTCTGAAGGAAGGATATATGAGAAAAACATCGACAAGGACAAGTGCATCCATCTTCTATAATATAGCAGGTAAATAATAAAGTATTCCAGAACTTTGTTGTACATGACTGGACCATCTGGTACTACTGTATGTATGGTATAGATACTCGTATATTCTATACGAAGGAAAACTTATTAAATAGAGAGCTGTTATTGAGATTTTCTAAACTGAAAGACTCAATAACTAATCTTGGCCTGATCCGGGACTCGAACTCAGGACTACCGGATCTGGGCCGTACACGCTAGCCATTAAACAACTAAGCCAAATCGATATACATAAGTCAAATGAAACATGGACTATTTGTAACCAAAGTAACATAAGGTTTAAACTTTGTAATCCTTGTTAAATGGATGAAGAAAGTTTTGAATATCGTAACAGAGATAGCTGTCGTAAGATAGTGACGGGTTGAAGCCCCAGATGGCAAATTAGCCCCCGAATCACTTTCTCATCGCGGTTGGCAGCCTTACGAACATCTGTACTTACATCCGTCTAATTAATGATCTTGTGGCAATACTTATGCTAACTTTGCTTAGATTAATGATAAATATATGCATTTGTATTGGCTTATTGTTTTCATTTTAAATTAATTAAATACAGAAATGTTTATACGTGTAATAAAGTAGCAATGTGGTAGAACGCGTAAATTTGATCGTGTAAAAAATTATGACAATATTAAACGGTTTTATGAGTTTTCATCTATTCGCTTTGTCCCGCATCATTTGAGAATTTTCCACCTTTAACTTTTTTTCTGACTTAGAGTGGTTGTTAAGCATATCACGATATAGGTTAAATAAACTAGCGATACTACATACTTAAAAGGAGAGTTCAAAGTATGTCAGTGATTGCGGCTGAGTGTATGTATACACAAGCCTGCGATGTCATAGGCAGCAGCTAGTTATATATAAGTACTAATGTTATGAATTTAAGTGTACTAGACGAGATCAGTGTATGTTTATTTCTCATCATGCTGTACCGGCTTATCGGATTAAATTCGAGATTATCGGCTATTTATAGGCGACCATTACTGATATATCTAAGCGGGTAAAAA